TTCACTTGATAAAAATGGATACAGTGCGAAAAGTGGAATAAGCCAGAAATTGGCTTATCGTTTCAGGACTCTTGTTGAGAGTTGGTGAGTGCAAGTCCGGAGGCTTGACCTGTCTTCTCGGCAGCATCGCCGCTACACATGTTCCGTATTTATCCGTGGAGACTTGTCAGGCTCAGTTGACTTCCCGTCCCCTTTGCGCCCGTGCATCTGTTGGGTCGAGTTTTAGGCCCGCATATAGTGTGCAGTGTGAAGGGGTGCGTGCCGCTCGCACAAACTTAAATACAACTTGACCTGATGTGGTTGAAGCTCGCAAGTGTGCATTGTGCGTGGCGCAAATGGTAGCCGAGTGAGCAAAAATAGGCGGGAAGTTGTAGTGTACAATTTTTTGTCTAAGGTTGTAAGTGGGACAGGAATTGTCACGTGATTTGAGTGTTTGTGACGCGTGACCTGTCCCCTAGCGAAGGAGAAATGTAGGTGCTGATGAAATGGTAAATGATGTTAATCTGCGATGACGTGGAACAAAATAACTATGAGGGAGACAGTGAACGCGAATGCATCAATCGGATTGGGTGACCACCACAGTGGTTTTACCGCAGTATGGCACATTGGACACGTATTTTCATTAGGAATAAACTCGAAAACAATTTGTTTGTGGAGTATAGCTTGTACAAAGTTATTTGAAAGTTCCAGTGGAACTGTACTGAATTCGCACCAACAAAATATTATGACAAGTTTAATGCTGTTACATTATCGACCGATGGCATCACATTTGTACAGAAAATAAGTCAATGCAATGTCTGAAACGGCATTGACGGTGTACGGAAGTGGCTGCTCAAGCTGCCTTTAAATTCTGAGGGATGATGTTGTCCGGCCGGTGAAGAAACGAACGGAACAGAAAAGCAGGAATTAGGCGAGGACAATAAATGGGCAGTATCCTCAGAGGACGAAAAATTGCAAATTTATTTGGGGAAAAAGCCTCAAGGTGGAGCCAAGCAGTGGCATCAACCTTTAGTTTATTGGACGACTGGTTAGATCGTAGGGCGCACTCGGTTTCTTTATGGTGGCTTTGGACGACCGAACAGGCTGATGCACGAATCCCAGGGTGTAACCCACTTTTCCGGTGTCAGTGTCTGTCGAACGCCACAGGTAGTACCGGATACGGTAGTGTCGGCGACAGATTGCATAGGATGGCGGTCTCTTCTTTAGAGGCGGTATAAGAGATATAGAAGAGCCGTTCAAAAGAACATCTGTGTCGTCATATCGTGATGCCACCATCCGCCTAAAAGCACCTTGTGATTGACAGTAAGAAGCACTGTTGTGTGACAAGACGCCTGTGACAATGTTTTTGCCACCAGAGATATCCATAATGGGAGACGTCCGCTGGGAAATGATGTCGATATATCATATCACCCGAGAAAAGCATCCTTTGTTTGAAGAGGCCGACGAATACATGGGAAATATGGCCAATAAGGATACCCTGATTGCCTTCGGCCTACAATAAATGCACCACAGTTGTATTTACCTAAGAACGCCACGTGCCTCATAGAACCACTAGTACAAAAAATCGCCAACCATCCATGGCCGTAGTAAGATCCATATTCCTGGTCGCTAGAAGACTATTTATCCTACTCAACGACCAGCGTAACTGGCTGGCGTCCCCGCTTCTGACGCGAAAGATCACAGATCGCGGATTGAAAATCTGTTATCCCACTAGCTCCACTAGGGAACTTCTGTGTAGCATACTAAGCCCTAAGCTTAATCTGCTGCCGTGGGTCCAAAAGCACAGCCATTCAACCTCCAGTTACTGTCACCTAGAAGGATTGCTTACGCACATCGAGACATCCATAGTGCCTACACAACAAACTGCAATAACACGATTTTCTTTAGAGTCTCTTTTGAACATTAACCATCTTGGTAACTAACTAACTGGACGAGGGGCTCGCCACTAAACTTATCAAACGGGCTGTTCAGTACCCGCTTTCTGCTTCCCAAACTTAATCATTGAGTCATCAACAGCATTGTACATTAAAAATGGACTTATGATTCACCTCCGCTACCCGTCTATATAAAAATATCCGTCCACCTCCAATGATCTTCTGGTACCCGGATCCTAAGTCTCTGGAATATTGATGCGTAACTGAACTGCGATTTCGTATTGGTACCTATGAACTGACCGCTATAAATAGGCGAGTATGCGTAAAGTTCGCTCGATTCGAATCTCTGCATGCTTTCCGTGCGTCCCATTTTTCCACTTCTCCAAGCGATATTCTTTTTAATTCGCGATACTTTCCTTAGCGTGTTTTCGCCCCCATCCACCGTTTTTCGTTGTATGGCACTCTCTCTTGCGACATTAGAGGTGCAGCATAACCAGCAGGTGTCATATACTGATTCGGAGTGCACATAACCTATAGAAGTGAGTATACTTAGGGCCGGCAAACCGCAAACAGTAAAGTGTGTTGCGCTTACAGTGCTCAAGATTTTGGACAAAGACTCGTTCCCGTGGTTCACGCCCTCAGGTGGATTTCGACAAGCGGACTATTCAAGCGGACCGGGCCAATTTCAGTGGTGTGTTCGTTCGTTTCCCTGGGGAAATAACTTCGTGGGTTGCTAATCTGTTTCTCCACCCCACCCAGGAGTTCACAGATGTTAAATGGCAAGTGATACGGCCCTCAGAAAAACATAGCAGTGTTACTTACAGCGTGCACAACATTGTGGATGCAACAACAATTGCACTTCGGTGATGCTCACGGATTTTCACAGATTCGCGAATCGAGGCTTCCACACAAGCTTCTCGAGTCGAGTTTTCTTTTTGTTTAGCAGCTTTTGTTCACCTAAAAGGTCCAAGCAAAAAAGGGCTCACCGCCGCTCTTTCAGTTCTCTGTGCGGGGCAGTAAGTTTGCCAGCGTGAGGACTTACATATTAAAGGATCTAAAATTGCTTTGAACCGGGTATTAGATACAGCGTGGATAGCCTTTGAAGGGGGGTTATTCCACGCAATAGGATTTTAAGAAAACTGTTGCCCAATAAAAATGTGTGCTCTGAGCTTGAATATCTTTTTACTATGTCCCAGCCGTTCATTAGTTTGGTCATCGATAAAAACCCGTATGTCAAACTTTGTTCAAACAGGACAGAAGTAAGTAGTGGGTCTCCTCGGAGGAGACAATGCTTCAGGGGAAGTTGTCAAGCGCCCCCAGTCGCGTTTCATAATCAGCGGATTCGAGGCCAGCAACAATTTTAACAACTCGTTTGACGCACTCAATGAGGCTTACGTACTTGCGTCCTGAGTAGAAAACTTGATTGGCGTACCCCAAACACGACGCAGGCTCCACAGTTTACCTGGAGTAATACCGGCGAAGGTGTGCTGACGAATGCCTTTTCATGTTGATTTTTCGTGGTGAAATTAGAGGTATGCGTTCGAAGACGGCCAGACAGACCAATCCTTTTTGGAATCTATCTTATTAATATCTTCCAGACAGTTCTCAACATGCACGATAAAGCGTTCAGTGAGTCCAATCCCAACGACATATGGATACACTTTTCGTCATTCGGAGGACGGTGCCAGTCCAGTGATCAATGATTTGCAGCGTATACACCCAGTGGGAGGGCATTACTATCGGAATTTGAGGGTTTCAAGTCGTTTTCAAAAAATGAATGTGGACTTGAACGTGATTTCGTGGGCTGACTGTGAAGTTTGGTGGACACGAAAAGTCAAAAAATGGAAGAGGCTCAGAAAGCCAGAAATGCCTGGAGATTATTTCAGTTTATTCGTGCGACCGGTCTCTGGAAACCACCTGTGAGTGACAATAAGGGGTGACATCAAGCATCAGAACGGGGCGGCCACCTTGAATAAAGGAGAACACTCGACTGTTTCACTGAATATGGGCTGCCACCAGCTGTTATTCATCTGCAGCCATCGTCTGACGTAGAACACAGGACGGTGAACTTGGATCCCCCTACGACCTCAAAGGTTCATTGGTGCATATGTTCTCACGAGCGCCACCGAGCTTCTGGTTCGGATGACCTCTCACCTATATTGTTTAAATATGGAGGTAAAGTCCTCCATCAACGCTTGTCTGCTCTGCCTGGCTGCATTTGAGAAAAGGAGGCTGTCCCAGACAACTGGAGAGAGTCGGTGATGGTACCAATTTTTAAAAGCGGCCCGTAGTGAGTGTCGTAATCCCAAGGGAATCAGCTTGACCCTGGTAACGAGGACGTTGGCCTCACTTTACCTTTGTCGCCTTATGGTGGCTCGTGAAACACTGACTCGAGAGCACCAAACGGGATTCCGGCCTGGTAGGAATCGTGTGGACCAAATCTTCACACTCCGTCAGGTGGTGAAACAACGTCATACGTACAAGCGACCCACAATTCTAGTGTCCCTGTATTTTCAAGGCGCATTTGCCTCGATTGACTAGTCTGTTCTGGTTGACACGCTCGCCCACCAAGGAATGCCCCGGAAGTTTGTGAACGTAATAAGTTATTTGTATTCTCGGACTTCCGGACGTGTGAGAGTATACGGCGAGCTCTCCGTACACAAAGCGGCGTCCGTCAAGGATGCTCATTCTCTCCATTCCTATTTAACTTCATGAGACCGACGCTGGAAGGTCTCTAAAACCCTGGTGTTCAAATAGTCTGTAACGAAGACCTTGTCGATCTGGAATGTGTGTACGACATCGTTCTTGTCTTCGAGGAGGAGGACAAGGCGCAGGTGTTTTTGGATGAACTGACCAGAGTCATCCCGTCTTTTGCATTCTACGTCCACAAAGTGTAAAATCATGCTCTTGGACCTGCAGTCACTGAACACGCCACTTACAATCCAGGGAGAGGCACTCAAAGCTATGGAGCGTTTCACGTACCTTGGAAGTTGCGTTATTTCGGATTTTAGTGTAAAAGATGAGGTCAGTGCACGAATTCGCAAGGCTCTGGTCGCGGTTGCTAATTTAAGACACTTATTACGTCAAAGTATTGTAACCCTGAATCTCAAGGATATGTGTATCAGGTTACAGTACGGGCTGTTTTGTTGTATGGTTGTGAGACTTGGCCTGTTCGAGCAGCGGAACTGAGACATCTTCATGTGTTCGACGATCGTTGTCTGAGGACCATATTGTGTGGGTTGGCGTTGGAGGATCCGTGACGAGGCAACTAGAAATCGAGTTTTTGGTTGTCCAACGTGAACTCGCATTGAAGGATGTGTCCAGCACCAGAAGCTGCGTTGGTTTGATCGGGATTGCGTATGCCGAACAGTCGTTTGCCGAAGTGAGTGCTGTTTCCTTGTATGTCTCCTTCACTGAAGCTGGTCCCAGTTTAAGCTGTCAAAGGGATGCTACCGGTTGTGGGCGACTGGAAGCTCCATGATTCAGTGCTTTTGGAGCTATGGCTGTACCAACCGTCGGAGAACATGCCGGGGATATAGGTACAAGTCTAACCATGTGTGAAATAAGAACTCAAATCGTTACGAAGCACGCGCACTCTATGCTAGTGTTCCGTCTACAACAAGCTGCTCTGTACCAAGCGTGTCTAATCATCTTCATCTCATAGGGACTGTCCCCGATCCATGCATTAAGGGTGCGAATCGCCGCGTTGCGTAAGGACTTGCAGTTACTGGTTCTTAACACATGGTGCAACAGTCGGCTGACTGAACATGTTCAACGTCAATCTCGTTCCCACGGCTCCAGCAGGTACAGCCCATCCCCAGCGCGTTCCGGTTATCCGCGCTGGTATCGTGCGCACATCGGTGGTGCAGGTCGGCAATGTTGGTCACCATGAAGTCAACGTCCACTTCGGGTAAGCTAGATGGCTCGCGATGCATGCCGCCGGCCTTCGCCACAGTCACCTCTTTTTTTAAAGTTAAGTTATCATCGCGTAAGTACTGAGTTGGTGCACTGTAGTTACTCCGGGCACTAGCGACAACTCTGCCAACTACCCAGAATTGAAGGCGGCTAATGACTACTGCACTTGTGGTTAGCAGCGTTTCCTCAACGTTAGTCTGGGACTCCACGGCGAGTTTCCCTGTGTTTTCTTAGTCGCCGATATCCGGTTGTTATACTCATCCTTGCTTCCCTTTGACGGTTATCCTACTGGTTGTTATACGAGGTGGCCCAAGTGGTTAAAGCGCGAATTTACCGACCGGAGGGTCCGTGGTTCGAACCCGACCTCCGCCTCTTGACTTCCTCTGTCTAGGCTTGGGCAACCTGGCAGTATCCCAGCCCTCGTGCAACCTTCAGGTAGCGTGGAAGCCAGGCACCGATAGGGTGCTACAGCTGAACGATTAATATACATCGACACAGATTGGCTGACCGTACACTCCACCTCAATATCCCGAAGGTGTCCTCCGACTTTCCTTCACTCAGTTGAGTTTTGCCCTACCGAATGTGTCTAGTGACTGTTCCCGCCTTCGGGTCTCTCATTCATCTCGAATTAGCTACACCCATTCACAACGAATATCAGTCATCATATTGACCCTACTAGCTCCCCTCCCCCAGTTTACTAGAGACCTTATCGAACCGCATCTAATAAGCTGTGACTCTCTAAAGTTGCGTTCGACCTGGTGTCATTTGCCATTCGAAAAGCTCCTGGGCTTCTCCGTCGCACATGGTTCTGACGAAGATTGCGGAGGAACGTAAGATGGGGCTTCTGCCGCAAGCCAAACTGAGGGAACTTACGCAAACCCAAAACATGCATTTACATGTCGGTCGTTGTTGTGAGTGAAATCACTCCTAGGTGTTCTTTGTTGGGGGTTAAGGTGTTGGCTTCGGGGCTTTCAGCCAAATCTCAGGGGATCGGAGTAAGGCTGTATTCACTCGGAGGAGCTTCTGTGTGTATTTTCGGAAACCTAACACAAGCTATTATGTTTGTATCAATTACACTTAATGATCGTAGTACATGTGTCAATGAGAGATGGTGCTGCGGCGCAAACTTCTTCAAGTAACGTGCATAATGCTGATCTTGCCTTTCAGCTTCTCGTTTCAATGTGGGAGTTTATTCAAATCGGCAAGAATAATGAGAGTGAGTTTTCTCTCATCCCATTTTCATCCATCCTAGCCTCCGACTTATCTGTGGTCCTAAAGGTCCCTAGAATGTTTACTGTTGGGCGCATAGATGCAGATATTATAATTGCAGATAAATCAGTCAGTCGCAGACACGCTAGCTTGGAAGTCCAAGCAGCGCAAGTATGGTTTTCGACTTTATGTTATTATCTTTCAGAGTGGTGGTCTTGAGTTTATCCTTCTTGATCACTCCAAATTTGGAACATTCGTAAATGGTATTCCTTTGAATGGGAGTAAAAGAATTTTGAAGAAAGGGGACAAAGTTACCTTCGGTGTCCAACCAGGCGTAAATTTTAGGTTTGGTGCGTTCCTTTCCAACCTTTCTGCTGTCTCGTATGCAGCTTGCAGGAGACGGCCCTGAATGTTGCGGTTTCTTCAATGAACAAAGCCGAGAGGCAAAGAATAAAAACCATTACAAACTTATTACACGGGGAACTCGTCCCAACATGTACAAACGCTTGTGCATTTCTCGTGATGCCTCATCTTGTCGTGACTGTGAAAGTCAGCTGCATTCGGTTTTGATATACCCGCTATTTCAGGTTGTCTGTGCTCTTCTTGCAATGGTTCCAATAGTCACCCCACTGTATATGGAGAAGTTCCTGGAAGCAGCATCTTGTATTCCGTTTGTGCGACCGAACTTTGTATGATATCGATTTCCCTCTTTACATTCACACGTTCATCTAAGGAGAACTTCCTCCCTCCAGTGCGTGAGGAACGTCTTGTGGATTCCGATGCCATCCGATTCTTACCAAATAATAAAAGACCGAGTTTGTTCAAGGGCAAAGTATTCTATGTTCTTACCCATGCCCATGTGAGTTTGATTTAGCCTTAAATCCTTCAGCTTAATCTTATCATCCCACTCACAATATCTGTTTGCGCCTTTTTAGTTTGATTTGGTTATCCTTTATCCATTACCCTGAAAATTTCTCCGATGTAGATAATTTATCTGTATGATAAACAACCCTGAAATCGTATACATATGCAACCTGGTTGGTGCACGAATGCTGCGCACTTCAGCGCATCTGTTCGTACCACGATAATGATAATAGTGACAATAATGATAATGTAACTAAGCTCAGCGTAACTCAGTGGTTAATGCTCAAACTTACTGGCTGGATGATTCGTGTTTGGAACCCAACTTCTGCATCTCGCTTGCTCCAATCAGGGCAACCTGGCATATTTCAGCCCTGGCACTTCTTCCGGTTGATATGACAGCTAGAACAGGAAGAGCGTCACGGCAGAGGGATTATTATGTATCATTCTTTATTATTGTGCACCTTGGTACTCGGCTTCTACGTTTTCAGTTCAACTTTCAAAAAGCAGTTGAGTTTTTGGTTAACATGAGTTCATGTGTAGTGAGACGGGTTACTAGAAGCGGTGCATTTTTTTCACAGGGACCTACAGTACCCACTACATGGTTCTCTTACATGGCGTGTGAAAACTAGTTAATTGGATATTGAAAAACTAATTCCTTACGGAGAACAACTGTCGCAATACTGGAAGACCTGTAAAATCCGTATCAATCAATTAGAAACGTTTGCATTTGCTCAGGCCTAATCTTGAGAACCTTATTTACCTTTGTCGTCATTTTTTCCAATAGAGACGCCTGAGCCGCTGCATTCAACCCGTTTCCTTTTGTTTTTGTTTCAGTTCTCCGAGCTGTCACCTATTGTCCGTTTAGGTGGTGGGAAGGTTATACTGCTGGACTCATCGGAGGCTTTCGTACAACATTACGAGGAACAGTTGGGTACTTGTGGAAATGTGGAACGCGACTTGCAACAAGTGCTTCGACGCGAAGGATCTTGTGTTATCCACGCACAGAACGTGCCGGGTTTGGAAGACTGGCAACGTACCGTCTATTCAGCTTTGCGCGGTATTCGGCGCCGGCCCATTTTAGAGTCAGAACTCGGATTCGCTGTGTTGTATATTTCAACAAATGGCTACTGCAACCCGGAAACTAAGTGCCGTAAGGAAGTGAATTTGTTTCACTACACCCCTTGTATGTAGTCTAACGTGTTACAGTCTTCTCAATATCATTTCCGTGTTAGCTATCCTAGAAGTGGTTAAAGTCCGGCCTGGTTCAGTACAATAAGATAGGTATACTTGATTCGCTGCCCAATGAGACTGGGTCTTATCATGGTTAAGCGGTTCGTATATATTTACGTCCTACTGAGCTGTACTTTGAAGTTTCACTTTGACACCAACGGACTTTCTGATACCACGTATTCAGTGAGTAGATATGTGACGAATACACTCACCTGGTCCTCCAAGTTGGAGGCTAAGATATGTCCGAGGGCCTATTGCCTAGAGACTTGCACCACCATGAGGGCATGTCTGCACCCATTCACTGAATAGCGGTCAGGCTTTGGGTTGAAGGTCTTAATCGCCCTCCTGCTTAGGTGTCGGTGTCTGACAGCGTAACCCATGTGCAGCCGTGAACTCCTGGCTGCCCCGACCGCCACCACAACCCCACCCGGCGCATCATGCGACGCCAGGTGAAACTCAGTATCTGCGCAGACCGAGGAGCTTGGTGGATCCGAAAGGAAAAAATGGAAGATGCAAAGAATGCTGGAAACGTGCGCAAGCTGTTCCGCCTGATTCATTCCACTGGTCCTCGCAAACCTCTTCTCAGCGAACTAATCAGAGAACTAATGGTCCGTACGGTCGTTGTGTTAAGTTGAAATCCAAAGTATACTGATGGAGATCGAAACTTACGAAGGTTTTCAGTGATGTTAGTTTTTGTTCCTCACTTTCCCCGAAAAGCACAGGCATATTCTTCTTTCTTTCAGCTGAAAAACTGTACCAGGAAGCAGGCGTTTCACAGGCTCTTTCAGTTAACCCATTTCACCTAGACTCGCAGGCCGATGGTTCAGTGCTTACGGAACGTTCACTGAACCCCAAAACGGCTCCCTTTCGGTCCTCTCTGAAACGGTCCCGGTAAGTGCTTTAAGTGGAATAGTTGCTCGTTTTCACAACTTAGATAATAAGTCGATGGCCTCTATATTCTAACTCTCCATACAAAGGACTAAAGAATACTCTGGGAGTCACTCCACTGGCTATACAAATGCTCCATCTTAGTTCCCCCGTACCCTTCGAATTACTTTGTTCGCTGTATAACTACCGAAGTGTGCTGTATATACGCTGGCATACTGGTGATATTAGCATCTGCTGAATACATTGTAGTGTGAATTATCAGTCTGACCTCCAAAGAAACAGTGCAAAACTGATCAACATATTCGCTGTATATGAACCGTCTCATGGTTGCACGTTTGGCCTGTCCGCTACCTGACACGATTCATTCGGAGTGTTTCGGACAAAGGTGATAAAAGTGTCCCAGGGTTGACTGATGTCCACTGGTATTTTTCCGTCAGAAATAGTGTTGGCGCTGAATTCGCAACTTATCGGGGCATCAATTCACTCATTGTCGCTTTTGAGCTGGTAACAGGTGAGCTTGCGCACTGGAAACTGGAGCTAATCCACTTACGTCCCGCTGGGGCTTCATTACCAGGTTGTCTGTTAAGGATAGGTCTGGCGCAAAACGTTTCATAACGCTCCAGGTTAGGATCAAACATGTGCACCTCAAAGTGTGATAGGCTTAAACCATAACGCTCCAGGTTAGGATCAAACATGTGTGATAGGTCACCATTGTTGGTTTTCGAGCTGACGGATTAGGTCGAGGCATCTGATCATTATGGAAGTGTCTCAGCAAGCATACAACCATTAAACACGGCCAAAAGTATCTTCTTGTCGCACCGACATTGCGTGGTGATGTCAGCAAATCCATCGAATATGGGGGGCGGCGAACGGGTGCGCACTGAGAGAAATGACGGATTGCACGTCACCGCTCTCACAAGCCGCTTTGCATCTGATAGTCTGACCTTGTTCTTTCGGTTTTGTTGAAGCCTTTTATGTTCAAACCTCATCAAACTTGTACTGAATGGTTGTTGTGCGCTGGACTTTTGCTGCATTTCTAAGACTCGAATACATGATTTAAGTACTGTAATTAAGCCCTGTCTCAGTAAGGGATACTCCTATCGGAAAACAACCACATCCTCATTCATAACGAATATTCCATATGTGGTGGTAAGAGCTGGATAGTTTAACGCGAAGGTGGTGCACCTCACTTCATTTGAGGCATACTTGATGGTACACTTGGTTAACACCCCGTGGTGATAGTGACAAACTCCTTTTGCAACTTTGCGTCACCATTTCGAAATCATCACCACGGCGTTTAGTCGTGGTGGATACTGTCATGCTACCTGACCTCCCTAACCGTTGGCTGCCCTGCATCCAGATTAACCACGCAACCCTTAGCTGCCGATGGCAAGGCGCTGTGTTCGACTGTTTCTCATCCTGGAGTGCATGTGTTGATGCAGATGACGAGAATTTCTACTAAGTTTCCCGAAGGGACCCAAGAATATGGCAGGACATCTTTTTGGATGGCTACCTCATTGTTCGGTTGATACAACTGTTATCACAAGAGCGTACAAATTGGTGAACAGAAAAGATATAGTCTAGCAGGGAAGCTTATCTTTCAGGTTTTGGCCGATAATAGAGAGAATGATTAATGCATTTCTTAATTTGGCCGCGTTAAGTTCTTTCAAGGGCTTTGTTAAGTCTTCAGACAAGAATTTCACTGACCGAGTGACTTTTAAAATCGAGCGCAGGTACAAAGGTTTGCAGGGTACATTCTATGACGTGTTTTTTAAGAGATCCAAGTTGCAATTGTTTCCCTAGAAATCTGTCTTGGAAACCATTAGCTCTAAACGTGTTTGTAAGGAATTCTGTTTCTGACAACGAGTCGTCTTTTGAAACAATCCTTCGGTCTCTCACAGAGACGACTTGGTTGTCGATTGATTTCCGGTAGAACGAAGCTGTCAAAGTTTGCCAAATACCGAGTCCCTGCACACTTTTCATCGTGCATTCGAATCACTAGTGCAGCAAAAAGACTGGTTTTTCCGTTCGATCTCACAGGTCAATATGGTGTTTGGATGTGACTCGTTAAAGGCAGTCAAAATAGATAGTGGATCTAAGGAAGTATCACGTATCATCATCGTGATCATTGAGGCGTGATATCAGTGTTCAACACCGATGCTTCACTGCCGTATATCACATATCAGGAAAGTGTTACTGACATTTGCTACAAAAATTGTGTTTTGGTATCTCACTGATCAGTGCGGGGTCTCTCGATTTTCGATACAAATGTCTACTAGTAGTGAACCATGTAGAGTACCCATTGCTGCTCTCTCCGTCTGTCTGTAAACTGTTCCGTTGAACAGTAACTGATAGACGTCCACTCAAACAAGGTTTCTGTAAATGTGTGTGTGTGCTTGTAAGGAGGGTCTATTCCCTAGAGAATTTACACAAGCTGTTTCAGCTACTCTTCAACACCCGACCCATAGCACCATCTACGTTTGGGTCTATAAAAAGCAATAATGTATAATAAAACCCAACGTGTATTTCTCCGTAGAGAATGTTTCCAACAACGGTTTATTTGGCTGTTGGCTTACGTACTTACGTCTTTCGTAGAGATACAATCATTAGACAGGCCGTACTACGGCTATTGAGTTGACACCTGGAAAATGTCTGGCTGGCTCGTACTGCGTGTTGAACATTGCCTCACCATCTGACGACTTGCAATGCGCATTATTCGTCCCAAATAGAATGACTGAAATCATCGCATGTTTAGGTAGACGTTTTACACTTTCAAAATGTGAAATCTTGCTCCGGGACTTTCAATCACTTTGTATCCCTTCGTGGTACAGCGGTAGCTAGCTGGCTACAGCTTGCATGCAACGAGCTGTGAACGAGTGTGAACGAGCACGTGATAATGAAACACTATGCAGACTTACGCACCAGTTCTGTTCTGCAGTCGAAACCATCTCTTGCGAAAAGTCCGTGGAGGACAGGCTTTGACATAACAAGAACTTAAAGCGACCAAACTTGGTACCATAACACCTCCGGGGCATCTCGTCTGATACCACGTTATTCACTGTGCACGCAGTTGAAGACCCTTCAGTGCATATTACGTGTTGATCCGATTGGCGCGCATACTGGCAGTGTCAGCCGGATAGCCTAGATAAATTTTGCCTTTCGCTGCGTTCGGCTTTTGGTGGTTAAGGTTCGCAAAGCATGCTGCATCACATATCGTTCTTTACTGACTCACCCTCTACTCACGTTTGTTTGGCAGTGAGGAACCAGTGCTATGTTGCTCCACCTACTTGTGGTATATGAACAGAACTACTCTCCTGAACCTGAACTCTCTTTCAGGCCGTTATCTGATCTCACTGAATCAAACCTGGGTGACAAAAAAGTTTCCAGAACTGCTGAGATGATCTCATCAGAAACCTCAGGGGCGAGCTCAAAGCGACCACGAAAGTGCACAAACATTGTCCCACCATGTGAGGTGAGTCACAAAAGTGGCCTTTGTGTGCCTAGAAATTATGAATTGGTGCGCTTCGTTACTTGTTAATAATGCGAAACATGGTTTGCTACTCGGGTTCCTCAAGCAACTTGTTTCCGCACGTTGGACTAGTCTGTCTGGAAATAAATCGTCAATATCGAAATGTTCAGCAAACTTCCTACTATTCATACCTTACAAGGATATCAGCCTGTGAAGGAATATAATCAAAGGTCACTAGTGCTTCACAACGGCAACTTTATGATAGACAACTGGCGTGGTGGGAAACCCAGAAAAGGCGTTCGAAGGTAATAGCTTGTGATAGGACCAGTTTGGACTTCTACATTTACTACCCGTAAGGTCCGTGGTTCGGACCCGACCTCTGCCTCTTGATTTCCCCTGTCTAGGCTTGGGCAACCTAGCAGTGTCCCAACCTTCGTGCTTCCTTCGGGTTGCATGGCAGCTAGGCACCGAAAGGGTGTTACAGCTGAACGATTATTATTCATTATTATCTACATCGTCAGATAAGTCTGAATTAAGGAACCTTGAAAGGCGATGCGTTTCGCATAATTTACTCGTGGTTTCTCTGTCCACCATATGGTTTGTTCTGTGCCCAGTTTTCCCATGAAGTCACTATCTGTACGGTGATTTATTCTCGGAAAATCTTTGACCACTTTTGATCTTTTTCAGATTGACTGCATTAATTGTAGAGATCCAAACGTTAATTTTTGTTTTGTGATTAAGGGACACCTGTTACGTTACCTAGTAATGGAATAACACAAAATGATATAGCGGGGTATACACAGCAACCACTTTTTAAACAAATCTTCACTTGAGGGGATCTTGCGTGCGAGAGACCAGTACATTCATAATTAGCAGCTCCCTCACAGTCCACAACACGACGCTAAGAAGCACTGGCGTCTAACTGGTGCAATTCGAATTTTTACAGATATCCATTCGATTGAAGAAATCTGAGCTCATAAACTGCGGGTTATCCTAGCATTGGCGCAATCAACCCCAGTAGCTTCAGAGTCTTTAACTGAGGTCCACTAGTCATGGCACTGTCATCTTTTTAATGTAATGGTGGCAAGGTGATGTCGAGGTACAGTTCTAGTTTTCGGTATATTTGTCCACGTCATTGCATATATGCGATTTTTTGCGCATGTCTTCTACTCGCGTCCCATTATTTTTGTTGAGTTTGGATAGCAGCGGAATGGAATAAGAAACTTGTCACCGATTATGCTTTCACACTCGCCGTATTCTATCGTTTTCATGCCAGTGCAGTTGTTACCGACTGTGATTAGTACTGTCACCGTTCGACACCGGTCCACTTGCTATGCATGCGATCGAGACACGCTTGCGTGGGTATACGTGATTCCACGTGTTTGTGTCTTCTGATGATGACCGAAGATTTGAGTGGTTTATTTTTGTTATAACGACTTTCGACATTCCAACCTTTACATTAAATGACATGGATCTCAGTTTTGACAACTTTATTAGTTGGGTGTCTGATAACTCCTGCGCTGCATCCGCGTCATAAGTGTTAGCTGATTGGTTGGATCGGTCCGTGCATCCAATTTGGAAGTCATTCTAGTATGTGATATTGTTTGTTTTGGGATACCTACTGCAAATTTAAACTGCGACAGGTAGGCCTCGGTGGTCGGATAATCGCAGTTGACCTCGACCGCCTCGTGTTCTGAAGGTCTGCTCAGTGCCCTGGGAAATGATCACTGAGCTCCACTAGGGGCTTCATATGACCGACTTGGTGTAGTTCATTGACTGCGACTTACAGGTACTATTTATAACCGACTACAGTGAAGTTTCTTGGTTCAGGTTGCATGTTTGCTTAACGAATAAACGATAGTCCTCAGCTTTATAGGGTCTCGTCCGAAAAAACACTTGCCCATTAGCACCGTTTTTCAACCCCCAAGGTAGTTCTCCGTTGGAATGGTGATCTCTTATACAGGCGATTTCCTGGTACAAACCTCCCAGCACTGCAGTAGGTTTTTCCGACCAAAAAAATAGCCACTCGACAATTGGAAAAAGTTTAACCGACTGGGAAGTCATCGTTTCAGAAGGGCTTGGTAAACAATCGATACTTTTTTATTTGGGAAACGTCTCACTTTTGACACAAAAGCTTCATCAGGCCAAGTGAGCAGGTCAACAAGTTGGCCAGGTTTTAAGGCCTGATGAAGCTTTTCTGTAAAAAGCAAAACGTTACCCAAATAAAAAATTACCAAAGGTTTATGTGCCTTCCCTTGGTAAACAGGATTTTCGGAAATAATAGACTGCCATGCGGCTCCATCGCATTGAAGAGTTCAAACTATCAGCAGCTGTGAAATGTTTGGCGTCAATGATAAGACTATTCTCTGCAGTAGTTTATGGACTACGGTTCTAGCTTTTGTCATCTGTAACTTGTTCCTCACTCATTCCCAGAAAGATGCTACTCAGCGTTAGCAAAAGGCTTCCCATATAATATATATATATATATATATTACTAAGTGTTGAATCGCTAACAAGGCCAATATTTAGGTTGAAAATCAACTTGGATGGAAAGCGTTCAACTGATCAATTCGTTCGGTTCGAAAAATTGGCGGGCGTGAGATGGGTGACCTTAAGCATCTGCTTAAATTTCTCCATAACCCAGACCAATAGTGGAAATTGGGAGAATATGTTAGTCAGTCTACCGCCTGCCGCAATCCACTCTATTATTATTGTTTCATTCGTGCCAACGTAAAAGATATAGTTAGATTTTCCGCTGAGTTTGCTTTAGTGTATACATCCACGTACTCCCCCTTATTTCCACTACGGTCTTTCTAGATCCCCTGCATACCAAAATCCAAATGTTTGGTGGCTGACTCTGAGACCTTGTTTCATTCGCCTGGCAACATTGAAAAACGCCACCCTCTATCGACGTGTTCGGAGCAATCAAACATGAGTGATCATACTACAATTCAGTCCAAGAATATGGTGAAACCTACCGAACTCATGAAGGAGAACATAGCACCATTGTTTCGGGCGACAGAGAACAACGTTCCAGGGGAGTTAGTCTCACGTAAGTTTGCAACCAATATTCTCATAGCCGTCGGGGTACAGAGAATTGCAGGTTCAGTAACACTCAACTTAACCGCGACCCCAATTGCAGCGTTTCGGATTTTCCATAAAGCTACATACATTCGCTTCCATTCCGAATGTAGATACTTCTCTTCGCCATCAAACTGAGAACTTCGTTGACGAACAGGATGCTCTGGCTGCACTCAACAGTATGCCTTCACTTTTTCCCTTGCAAATTTCTCGGGAAAGCGTAGCTCCCACGCGCGTGCTGAAAGACCTTTCACCCTCAAATAAGGCGGACCTTTCTAACCCAGATAGATCAACTGTCTCTGTGGGCTCACAACCAGCAATCTGTACTCAAGCGGAATTGCGCAAACTGCAGCTGTCCTCTACTTCGTCTCCGAATTCTGTCACACAACAACAAACCTCTAGTCCGGTGAAAGCCACTCATCCTCCTCCATCCGTCGGCTTAGCTGGATGGCTATCCAAAAATACGCCAATGACACCGACTGACAGCGATAATGTGGTAAGCACTAAATACCAAATGTTTTTCTGTTTATCTTTATTGTCTTCCTATCAAATTGGTAGGCAAGATATTGAACATTTTGCTGTCAGATAAAGTTAGTTACCATGAATTTAACATACACAACAAATGTTCCGTACGAAGACTAGTGTCTGTTTGGTGTAATGTTGTCTCCCCTGGAAGGAAAACTGGTCCATGTTGTCTTTGTAACGTACTACTCATAAGGTTGCTGAAAATCCGTCACAACCCACGGACCGGTTTCGCCCTTTTTGGGGCTCATCAGGTAGGCGCAGTCCCCGGGTTTCCGTTAACCTTACTCCTACTTGCAACCAAATTGCACGAAATTAGCGAATATACACTCATTTGCAAACTAATTTGGGTTTTCGAGAGACTCACCTGGAACCCAGCTGAATCTCTCGTCTGTAATGTTCTCAGGCAACTGAATGTGCTGCACCAGGCCGCCTCATGTTTCAGTCGCTACGATATTCGAGATATCGCGATACATGTATATCTTTGTAACGTTATATTATTTTATTGATTAGGTTGTTTGCTCTAGTAGCGCACAAGACTGCTGCCCGAGTCACTTGCTGAAGTCGGCTCTTGTGGTATCTTTGTACGAGTAGTTAACACCGACTTTCAGATTGCAGCAAGCAGCTCAGGGTGTTCATTCTCAGCCTCTGATAAACTATTACGAGCTGATTGAATAACACACTTCCTTGGCCGTTCACTTATATGGTTGTAGTCTACTGAGTGCTCATTGTTTGGCTGAACTGATCCATCGTATACGTAGCTCTAAATTTCTTAACTCGGTTTGCACCATCGGTTCACCATCTAACTCTCGCTCACAGAGTTGTCTCCGGAAGCAGATGAGAACACGGAAACGCAGGACTAAGGCGGTTACTGTTGCTCTTTCTGGAGAAGTGGTTTTTCAGAAGATACCACTTTCAGCTAGTTCCCCAAGTTGGTACTCAATTTTAGGACTTTAGATAGGGCCTTGCGCAGCTCCCACCATGGACATTTTGATGCAAATCCCTCTCAAGGTGGTAAAACATGTCACCGCATCCGCTGATCCTCCATTATTGTCACCACCAGAGAGAGAAACGTCTGTGGTGTCACTGATACCTCACTGCCGTACAACATAAAGTTTATCTAACTATACTAAAAACCCTAGACTGAGAGGAAATTGGTGGGTGAGAGAGGGGACTTGGTGCCGGTCTGTCACAAGCGTTCTGAGATGCTCACACTTCCAAGCGTTCAGTTAGACAGTATGAATAGAAACTGACAGCACGAACGCCACAGATATCGATCAGTTGCCATTTCTTGCAACGTCTCCAGCCGAGCGCAGGTGTCACAGCCTATCCTGGCGCCACAGATATCGATCAGTTGCCATTTCTTGCAACGTCTCCAGCCGAGCGCAGGTGTCACAGTGACCCTATCCTGGAGGACGCACCGCAGCAACCCCCACACAATTCGTATTCTGTTCCTTACCTTTCAGCTAAGTCATACGTTATCCATCTCGCTTGTCACTATAGACGGTGTTTTGGCAGGCGTATCGCACGACCAAGCCACCGCAGTTGATGGTGCTGGATGTTTGCGCGACTGAATTACCCACTTCACAAATGTCCATCTTCCGATTAACTCGTTATGAACTCGTTGACGCCACCCGACACCAGCAAAGGTCCTGAGGTACCTGAAGACGCCTGACATCATCTGTCCGATGAGGCCGTTTCACAGCCGTACAACAATACCACACTCAGTGTAGCGTGGTGCAGCCGGCCGTTGGTGTACAGTGATATGTGTTTTGATTTCACAAGTGACCCAAATTAGCAAACATTATTCGAATCTTTGAGATTCTTGCGCTGATTTCATCAAACACTTTCGTCAGAGCTAATACAACTACAGAGGTTTGAGAAACTCTCCACAGCCTCCAGTGATTCTCCTTGAAGTGTAACGGGTATGTCCAGAGATTGAATCTTCTGGAGCGTAACTACAATTTGAAGGTACAGGGTGAATACCGATAGACGGCTTGATGGTAGTCATTCTATCCTACAAGGTTTGTGTTTCGTCTTTGCCTTCGGATCGTCCGCGTACCCCAGATCGACAAGTTTCCAAACAGCAACGATTTGAACACCGGCGTTTTGAAGACCTTCCAGAGTTCGCCTCACCTTCTCATTGTGGACGAAGTTGAAGAAGAATGTAGGGAGTGGGCATCTTTGTCGAACCTCACTTCCGTAGGGAAGCTTTTGAAGAGCTCACTCGTACGCCCAGAATCCTGTGACTACACAGAACGGACTATGTTCACAAACTTCTGGGGCATACCCTGTAGAGAAAGCGCGATTAACAGCACTGGCCGATCGACAGAACCGAACGCACCCTTGAAGTCAAGGAACACCAAGATTGTGAGTCGTCTGTATATACGGTGTTGCTCTAACACCTGATGGAATACGAACATGTGGTCAACGCAGCCCCTACACGGTCGAAATCCCGCTTGACTCTCACGAGCCTAGGTCTAGCGTACCGCTATAAGACGACGAAGAATCAGTTACGCCAGAAACCTTGTTCAACGACAGCCATACTGACATCTCTGTGGTTACTACGTTCACTACGAGTACTCTTTTTGAAAATGAGCAATATTATCGATTCACCTGAGTTGTTTGGGACGTTATCTTTCTCCTAAATAGACCCATCTAGGCACTAATTGAGGAATTCACCGCCAATCTTGTACAGAGCAGGTGGAAGGTCGTCAGGTCCAGGAGCACGATGGCACTTCACTCAGACACGTCTGTGGCTGAGGGACCTCCATGTTCACAGGCCACCCTTCTGTTGAAGCCCGGCATTCCCGTTTGGCGGCAGCAGGTGGCCAACCGAATGGTAGCGCCCATCGATGCAAACGTTCTCCTTCGCTTGATAGTACTGCTGACAAGAGGCATCCGAGAACCAGTTGGACAAATCAGGTGGCGCAACCAACATTTTTCCTCTTCCATTTCTTCGGCCTTTCGGGTCCACCAAGCTTCTCGATCTGCAAGGACACTTAGATTCGCTTGGCGCCGGATGGTGCGTAGAATTCGGTTGCCGTTCAGGGCAGCCTTCAGTAAAGCCACAGTCCTCTCGGAGATCCAGTATTTGGATGATGCTGGTCGGGTTGTAAAGCAGAAGTTTCGGCCTTGAGTAGCACTTTGGATTTCTTTTCCCAGCTGCCGTTTATATACAACACCGGACCGTCCGGCAGGCGTTCGAGGAGCCGGTTCCGAAAGTTTTGTTTGGTATCTGAATTTACTGCCTTTTCAGTGGCTAATCGAGGTGTTCGTGTTTTCCGTAGACCTGATAAACGCTATGAAAAGCGGCAGCGCACGAGTGTACGGTTGGAATCCACGCTAGTATTTCAGAAGGAGCGATAGTTAGTGATCGACCATCGCTACGGGTAACTGATGGCGATAATGTCTATTTGGAATCGGGACTGGTTCGTTGTTGGACACTACATTTTTCGGCACCTTGCGATTCTTGGAAATCGGTCCATCGGCATCTCCCTTGTCCGTGCACATCATGTCCAAGTCGGGTCTCGGACCCATATGGTCTGTCTACATGAGTATTCACGCTACCAGCAGCCACAATAAAGACTAAGCTTTTAGTAAATTGTAAAAGAGCCACTAGAGTGTCATATAAACTGTCTTTGGTAGACTAAGAGCCATATTCAATTGGGGCGCAAGCAGACACAATAAACAACAATAAACAGAGTGTGCGGACCTCGCTTTCTCTAGATTCTCTCACAGACGTTGCCGGATGAACGGCTCAGATACGACAGTCGATGGGTATTTAGTCAAATAGAGACACTTCCGCTCGGTCATTCAATACAGTACCCGCCCAGGCATGTCCAGCTGCAGTAGCCTTTGCAACACCGAATGTTCACAGCCGGAACCTGGAGGAGATCGAGGGTCATTCCGTTCAACTGAAATACTTATGTCTTGTATCTGTAAATCACTGCAGAGGGAATCCAGCGTACGAACGACAGCCACTTGTCCTCGCTTTGGCGAGAAGGCAGCTGAGTAGATCGGTTTTCAAGGTCTTAAAAAGGCTGCGAAGTTCTCAGGGTTTTCACTGACTTCGGACGTACAGAAGCTGCAGCTGAGTGTGATGTACGGCGAACAAGGCGGTCAGTTCTAATGCTGGGACCCGCTGAGAAAGTAGAGAGAGAAAAGAGGGGTACGTGGGAGCTTAAATGGGAGAACTCAGCAGTAGCCTGTGTTCTCTTACCCCTCCCCTGCTGTATGCAAGAAGTTGGACGACCGGGATGGTGACACCACGTAACGATCGATGTTAATTGTATGTATGTTGTATGTATCCTGCCTGTATGTGGCTTGGGATACTGCCAGGGCGCCCATACCCAAACAGGAGGATAACTAAGATCCTCAACCAGAGCTCTTGGCTCAAAACTCTCACTGCAATGCACAGTGTTTGGCGGAAAATTCCGGTTCATTACCATTTTATAGAACAAGTCGCCATACATGTTTTAACCCCCAACGTGGAGGACCAGAGGACTGTTCGTCAGAGTTGTAACCATTGACCTAGTCTTGCACGGACACCACGTATAGCTCAGTGGGTTGCAGGAGTGCACAAACTGTCCTACGGTAAGATCCAGTCTCTCGATCCTACAACAATTTCTGTACCCTTGCTTTACGTAAGTGACTGCTGAAGTTTAAATACCGACTTCTCAGGTACTGCACTTAGAGCACCGTTCTCTGTGGCGGAGAGAAAACAGCTTGTTCAGACACTATGTTTGTGATATAGAAAAATAGAACAACACCAACCTTATTGTTCTTCCCGATCTTCCCCATATTACTCGGCATCTCGTTGTAAACGTTTGAGTTTTTTATGATTATTTGATACAGTATGGTGAAACTCGCCACAATAACCTGTATGTTGTCCGACTTTCCGTTACCATGCAGTGTTTGTTTTGGTTTGTGATTTACTAATTTACGCGGTACGCTTTGCTTCAGCGTATAAATGGGATGAATGTGAGGCATTCAAGGACCGGGACAGGTCTTCAAATTCTGTTCCTATATAGTCATTTTATTTTAATGTTCTAGGTGGTGTTTGTTAGTAGGCTTGGTTTAGGTCACAGATCAGTCCTTTCAGACACTCTCTGAAGGGACAGGATTGCTATGTAACTACTCACAAAGTTGCTGAGAACTCTTAGATAGCCCACGACCGGTTTCGCCCTTCTTGGGGCTCGTCAAGTAGGCGCAGTTCCTGAGTTTCCGTCAACCTTATGTTCTACTTGCTAGGTATTTGAGCGTAGTAAGGCCTTCATGCCTTCATGTAGGAAGTCCAACGGATTCCATTTATGTGTGACTGAAACCCAACTCGAAATTAGCTTATGCTGACGGGCTCCGTAAGGATACTGAACCAGCTCAGCCGATGCCGTCATACTCCCCCTGAACACCATGCCCGTGAGCGCTTTAGGACTTGGTTGTCTTACTTTTTACCGTTTTTCTTCGGATCATAGAACTTTTTGCAATAAGCTCTCAGGGTCTCACGTAGACAGGACTTCAGTTTGCAACTAAGTGTTTGCTTCTACATATGTGCCAGTGGGAGTTAAGATTAATAGAAACCATGAAAACGATCAGTCCCAAAGGGGCGAAACCGGGGCTCTGGGACGGTTGTCTTGCGGGACAGCCATCCCTAACTGATAATACGATACTTTTAGCATATCATTTTAGAGGGTACTTTGCAGGTAAAAATCACCAGTCTGTATTTGAATGCTTGTGTAGTTCGATGAATCTCGAACTCATTCCCCTGAGTTCGGAAATAAAATGGAACAAGAACTCGTATCAGAACTTTACACCAGGTAAACGCGGTGAATTAGGCACGCACTATTCGCGTTAGCGTGAACTCGCCTGCTGTTTATTGGATCGATACATGTTCGACTGAATTAGCCAAAGAAACGGTAACAAATATCATCAAAGGGATGTATGTTGAACTTAATCCTTTATAGCACATGACTGTAACTCCAACTCTGGTAATGGTTTAGGCTACCGACTATTAACATCGATTGTGCTTTGCGGGTCAGAAGGCCGACCTCATGCACAACCGCATACTCGTGACTTACCTGGTTAAGAAAGATGAATAGCTGTCCAGAAACATCCGATGCCTTTCATAACATCGATACACCGGGGCGCTGAAAAAATTTGAGCACCGTGACATTTTGAATTTTTCCAGGGCGTTTGTGGGTTACAGGATAATTTTACGTTTCCTCATTTGTGTCTTCATTGGTGGTAATGTCGCTAGGTGCAGTCGGTCTAGGGTGGCAGTTGTTGCCTCGGGACAATCGGTGCACAACACTGGTTAAGGACTTCCGATAAGATTACTGATAGTCCTTTGTTATATATTATTGTATTATTTGTTATAAGGTAGATTGATTTTAGACTTAATCTCCCTCACTTGGTAACCTTTCAGACATTACCCGAACAGTTACATAACCGACCGACCAATAAGGTAGGAAGATTTCGGGCTCAAACCGACCTTTTTTGCCAGGGACTGAGCGTCCCTGTCTGGTTTATCATTATATCTGTTATTGGATTAACCATTGGGATAAGGCCTCCATGCAGAGTGCACAACAAATTTCCCCGTATACGCAAACGCTTTTATCTTTGGTGTGGAGAAAGATACCTGCACATTCGTCGTTTAAAAGGTAGAACATTCGGTTTTTGATGTTGTTACTGTTGATGTTCACACACAAGCGCTGTCAACTAATAGTCCTATCTGTCCAACTCTAATTAGACGGAGCCGGTAGTTCCAACTCATCCTCCAATCGAGCTGATGGACTTGATCGTCCCTACTTCGATTCGCGCAAGAAGAGTCGTGAAGGATCGGCTTGAAGTTGGTCCCAACTACAAGACATTTAAAAAGGTATTTCCATATCCAAAGTCCATCCTCCATTCACAATTCGTGGGTTTCACTATTCACTATTATTGATCTGACTGCTGTAGAGCAGCTTGACGTGTAAGTGTGTTGCATAGATGGCGTGAAAAAATATCCGGTATCGTGCTTGAAAAATTGTCGTTATGCTAATACGACTAACAGTTAGGTACACCGGACCCAGATTTTACCAGTAGGCCAAGTTCCCTGAATCATACATTCATACTTGTGATGCTGCCAACAAGCCGCTGATGTCAAGTCCTTTAGGAGCATGCATAGCGCATTATTTCGGAAGACGATGTTGACGCTAGCCGTATCTTGCTCTGAAAACTAGTGTGTAACATTGCCGTCAAAGCCGTCAGCTACCGTTCCTCAGGGAGGGGGACGAGGAAGTTGCAGGGGGTGGTTATTGTCATATGCACATCATATGGAAGAATGAAACTGTGCCAGGACACAATCAACCGCCAACATTCACCCTCACTCACTGCCTTGAATCAATGAGCCGTAGTTCTTGATTGTTTGCAAAAAACGGATAACCCGAGTGCATTCACCGACGGTCAAGTCGGACTTTTATCAATCCGACAGCAAGTGCTCTAATGCATGTCACGTTCAATGTCATTTTTAGGAAGACTTGATTGCAAACCTTGTTTGCCTGCTCTAGGAGCTTGAGGCATTTGTGGTTAGCTGGGAACTGGTGAATAATAGCCGGTCATATTTGGGGTACGCTGTCAGCACATTATTGATACATCTAGCAGATGGAGTCCTTCACAGGGTTTTTCAATTAGCACATCTGCTTTGTGCTATTGGCAGTCCGATATTCATAAACTGGTATCCAAACACTAATTATCATTCAGGTATCTTTGTAACACTGCAGAGGAAATCGGTTTTTTACCCTTGAGTTTTTCTTCAACGGAGCCGCGCAATCTTACCTGCTCGATGGGTAGCAATTCGTAGGGGCAAATAGGTCTTCCGATTTCAACACTACCAAAGTGAAGCAGTACTGACCTTGATTGTAATTTAGTGTGGTTGCACGATTTACGGATAGAAAACTGCGCAAAATCTAAGGCGATGGCTGTTTCAACCCGCAAAACTAATTGCGCTGGTCCTTCGGTGTAGTGATTACATGTACTGGTTGGAATCGAGGTTTCTTTGATGTAGTAGACGCCACCATCGTGTATGAAACTAGAATCTTGCAATAAGAGGGGAGTTGGCAACTCGCATTCATTCGCCCTACCATAGGATAGCTACCTTAAAGCAGTGTTTGAGATAAGATAAGCTACCACGGTCGAACAGTCGTGTGGTACAATACGACGTAGTTTAATGAGTCGTTCCAGCCATTAGTGTCCGCTCACTCTAGGGTGACACAAATCGAGTCTTCTAAGCACTAGACTCTGTGGGATACCTAGCCCCGCTTGAAAATGAGCGCTTTTTTCACGGTTGTGACAATCATCTATATTTTGTTCACAGGTAGTAGGGAAGTTGATGACGTTACATCCTGAGGTTCATTAATGCCTTTAGGTCACTAAGAATACCGGTGACTGTCTTATCTTTATGAAAGCACCATAGATTCACAACGCAAGCTCTCAGAAGGTCTAAATACTGGGTAAACGGGCGAGATGAACCAAGTGGTTAGCACGAATTTACTGATCGGAAGGTCCGTGGTTCGAACCTGACCTCTGTCCGTCGACTTCCCCTGTCTAGGCTTGGGCAACCTGGCAGTATCCCAGCCCTCGTGCCTCCTTCGTGTGGCATGGCAGCTAGGCACCGAAAGAGTGCTACAGCTGAATGATTTTTATGAAATACTGAGTAAGCTTTCCACCGCTGAGGTTGTTTATGGCGAGCGGAGGCTCGGTATATATGTGGCATTTTCATGACGAACACAGGGGATTCAGGATGGATAAATCATCAGAGTCGAAGGCTCCGGTTGCCGCTAACTTGTTCATTAATAAGCGAGGAGGTCGGGAAATGTAGCCGCACATTGCAGATGATAGTTTCGGGCGTTGCATTTCCAATACTGACAGCGCACCGGTTGCAGATACATACCTAAGAGATGATGGACCAATTCATCTGAAACGGGGATCAGGGAGAACACCAGGACAAAGCACCCGAACGCAGCAAAAGTATCTGCACTACACAGGTTGACCTAGGCGTGACCGACAGAACTGCGTACAAATCATTGTATCTCAAATAGAAAGTATAGTATTTTTGTGAACCAACAGTAATTCACTTGGAATACGATACAGCTAGGAGCACACTGCAGCGGCTCTCATACCGTGATTTGACTGGTAGAAGTATTTCTATGATTCAACCGACTTGTGCGGACAACCCGTGAACCATTTTCTATCCGAAGTGGACCTTAAATAAGTTGGAAAGTGCCAAATTGAAGAAAGAAGCAACTTGGAATATGGGTCTACTCCAAAAAACTATGATTTTGCTTATTTTTTTGTGACACGGCTCACTGTCGTGTGGATTTTGTCACTGAGTAAACCAAAACCATATGGTGCTAACGGAAAATTCAAGTAGAGCGGAGTTGAATATTTAATCTAATCAGGTGCACTGCACAAAAGCCACAACATAGGGCGATATTTTGTTTCGTTATTGTCGATCCCCGCAGAAATCTCACGAAATTGCATTTTGGGGAATCCTGCCTGACGTGCATATCGGTACTAGTTTCTCACCTGAGCCAAGATACCTTTCGGATCTTGTTGCTCTGTAGTGCAAAAGGTTGTCTATGCTGAACGGGACGTCGCACGCGGCGTGTCTAGTCGTGACAACATTAGAAAAAAGAGGACAACCACAGACATTCGCTGATGTTCATGCGATCACCGAGAATAAACCTATATTTCAATGTGGACGCTTTGGTCCTGATTATTTCGCCTGTTTCTCTCGATCCTTTCTCGTTAAGGTTTGGCCCGTATATATGGGTGAATCTCCAGTGGCCGTCCAAACGAAACGTTCAAATGGGCATTTTGCAACGGCGAGAGTAGATCTAACTCCCTTCGTACCAGATTGCCCTAGGCCTGCCGATGTACCAAACGAAGAGCCCGCTTGTATGTCAGAACAGGAAGAACGGGCCCGGATCGACAGACTGTTTCAGTAAGTTATCCAACCAATAAGCGTTCACTTCATCATCCAAAATCTCCACTTTTTCATGCATATAGTCCGGTCGAAAGTCGCCAAAAATACGCTGGGTTGTGCAGGTACACTTCGTACTTCATGACCCCAGGTGATATCAACAGCCAGGCCATAAGGTCGGTCTAGTAAATGGTCAGAACACTCATGAAGTTAGACTCCAATCGACAACCCAACACTTGCGATATCAAAAAACAGACAAAAAAACAAACCTGAAACTCCAGGCTCCATGTGAATTAACCGGATGCGACTACTATGTCGCCGTTTCACTTCTGCAAAGTACCCCGACCAAACAGTTACATCAGTCGAAGATTATTGCATCCATAGCGTCTGTGCACAAAATCATACATTAAGATGATCACAAATACCACGTAATATAGCACTGTATTAGCCTTGTTTCTTCGGCATTCTTTCTCATTAATGCGCGTACTGCAGCACAGTTCATGCTGTATTTTCCAGTCTCATACTGAAAAGTATTTCATTCCTCTTTGCAGTCAATTGTGTCAAATACCGAAAGGTCGGATGTGATGTACCACAGACCTCAAATGTGAGCGAGACTCGATATCCGATTGCTGTTTTTTTCCTACAGAACTGACGTATTCCAATCAGCTAAGCAATGTACCCATGCACACTTTTCCAAAGATTTAATATAATAGAAAATCAACAGTCGATTTTTGAACTGTCGAATGGGCAACGTGTACCGAATTTTGTGTTTCGCCGTAGGTTTCTCCTTATCGCGAATTTAAGTTATTCTGCCTGGCGTTTTGTAACTGGAACAAGTGGTACCGCGACCTTGGCGTGGAAATATGTCAGATTCTCGAATGGTTCACAAAAAATACAGTCCTAATAACGAAACTCCAGCGTTCCTCAGATGGATATCCAAACCGTCCACTCTGACTGATACATTACTCGGTGTATTCGTGATGGCGGTTCTTGATACCACCTATGCAAGTGGTCAGTACGGATAGAGCCGCCAGATCTGGAAATGGAATAATTTTGGGCGAGACTCGGCTGCTTACTGGTGGGAATCCGCTGGAAGTCGGATGAGTGGCCCAGTTTCACAAACCTGTCTGCTAAAAAACAAGTTTTCTGCTCCTGTGGACCGACCAAATCGATCATTCCAACTTAAATGAGGAAATAGAGTCCCACGTGCGAAACTGTCGGATCAATTTGGTTATGCTCTGGAAACGGTGTCGATCTCCGTCCATTCAAAAGCCTAGGAATGCCGCGATGTGCATCGCAGATTCTAACGGTGAACAGTTTTACATCTCGGTTGGTATACAGACCATAGCGACAGTAATAGGACCACGACCGGACACTGGAAGAAGAAAGCAGGACCTTCCTCACGGCTAAGTGAGGGAGGCCCCTGTCCCTCCAAGCATATTCGGCACGACTGATAGCATGCGCGGAATTAGCGGTGACGAAGTCTAAACAAAATTTGTAACGACGGTAACGCATATAGATGCGTGTACTTGGCACAGATAGACATACGAACTACCTTATCGTCAAGATCGGTTTGCTCGCCAACTGAGGGCCACTATGCGTCATGTAAGACATCTCTCAGTAATAACGCACTGTTATCCATAGTCTCATCCAAGTAGCATGCAGCTGGTGGATACCAGATACAGATACGTGATTTAAATTCACAGCTTCAATAATTATCGCCACATTCAACATGGCCGCAATTATGTTGTTGAAAAATACCTATGTCCATGAAACAGTTATTGACAGAGCACGTGTGTTAATGAAACGTGCTTTTAGCGAACCATACCTGACCTTGTTAGGCGTCAGTCTCAAGGCTGATCGTTCATTGGAGATGGTGTTAAAGAAAATTTCTGGGAAATAGAAGACCGATCCTTATGAGGACGTTTTTGAGGGTAGGATGACTGCGCCGTCCGCTGGTTGGCTAGTTTAATGTGTTGTGGTTGGGTGATCGGAACAAGTAATTATTTTTAGAACTCACAGTAGTTCGGCTTCGGCATGCTCTTCATTGTACAGCAGTTGAGCAGTAGTTAACACGACCGTAGGCAATGCTGATCACCAATCAAAAGCGACTACTGCGGATGAAACGCCAACATTTCGTCGAGCGCGTTTTCTCACCGGTCAACACCGTTCCTAATAAACGGTCGAAATACCTAGTCTGTTAGCATGAGTAGAAACCGACTGCTATTTATTCACTGGCAGATTCTTGGCCGACTGCTATAACTGCATGGAGTAGGTCAGACACAACAGGGGAACCACCTTCAAAATCAGCGTCGATGCGCTTTACTGTACCATTCCTATGACTTTTACACGCAATTCATCGTCAGCATGACATCAGTGTTCAACACCGATGCCTCACTGCTTACACGCAATTAACAATAATGAACTAGAAGACTCCATGTTGTATGCAAATTTTTGTTTCCACCCTTGTTTTCTATGAAGTAAATCTATACTAACCACGGTGCAAGTTGATTGATCATTACGCCTGCCTCTATTAACCGTGAAAATATTGCACCCATTAACTATATAGACTTGGCGATTCATGAACAACGCGTCTGGAGCATAACTTTATTAACAAGGTTGAAAGTAAATTATCTGATGAAAGTACATCTCACTCCGTCACTTTTCACTTTTATCCAAAGAGCGATAAGGTATTCCTTTGCTACGTAAGTAGTGGATGATATCATCAGGAAGGGAACCACAGACGCTGGCTGCGTAGACTCCCGGAGTGAGTTTGTCAATCATCTGCCACCTTGCAACCCAGCTCTCTGTTGGGCACATCATTGCCAGAAGACCATCAAAGTTTGCTGAAGAACACTCATAAACTTTGTCCCTGTCTCCCTGCATCTTCAGGAAGTCTTCACAATTTTCGCATCCATTTAGTTGGAATTGGTTCAACGTCTTGACTAGACCACAAAGCAGACAAGCACGCAACTGCCTTAGCTCACTAGGTATGACCGTATGCAGAGCCATGATGCAGTGGAGCTGCTGCTTCCAGGGAGTCGATCAAGCGAAATGTCTGGCACTCTGAAATAAAGAATATCATATTACTTATGTGACGTAGGCGCATGGCACGCCACACCATCATTTACAACCAGGCTAAACTGAACCGAAAGTAGGCCACATAGAGTTAGCTGGGTACATAACATGTACTGTAGTTCCGGTCACAAACTGAGGTATAAAGCAATCATTAAGAGTTAATCCGATGAACCCGCATATTTTTTGGTCTGTCAATTTAATTAATGAGAATGTAAAGCTAATCGTAAATCTCACCTAAAAAGCGTACGTTGATGCTGAGCTAAAAAGGAGCACATCATCAATCAGAAGTTTATGGTCATGCGCCGTACAGTTCTATAGAACCAGAAACAAATTCGTGGAGGGCAAGCTGAGATTTGCCTTGAACAATGGAGCCTAGGTCCTGAAAAAGGGATGACACTTCCAACGACCAAGCTCTGGCCTTTCTTAGCGGTTGGCATACGATCCACTAATTTGGTCATCGACCATAACGGTAGTGCATCTCAAAGAGAGGTGCTGTTATTGACACTTCCGACCTCAAAAACGTTTTGTGCCGCAAGAAGAATAGACATCCATGAATCGTAGCGACCTTTCGGTGCCTAACCGCCATGCAACCCGAAGGATGCACGAGGACTAGAATACTGCCAGGCTGACCAAGCCTAGACATGAGAAGCCAAGATACAGAGGCTGGATTCGAACCATGCGCTCCAACTACTAAGTCGTTGCTAATAAATCATATCCAAAGGTGCTATAAATTCACTACCCGCAGTTGAAGCCCGAGGGTTCAACTGCGTGTATTTTAGTCACCTCAGGTTACCATTATATTTAGGTTCCAACAGAGCCTAATGCGGGGACCCACAAATCACGAAAATACGACAATTGTCGAAGATTGAAAATACACGAATGGATAACAACAGCGCTGTGGTCTCCATAAGCATCTTGACCGCAACACCAGATGAGAACACTGGTGCTTCACCATGGCACAATCATGTCAATTTACTTGAATTAAGGCCCATAATGAAAACAAAAGAATAGGACAAGGAGAATGACATTGGGCCAGCCTACGAATCAGATAGGTAAGCTGGCTGAAATACTGTTCGGGCGCCCACGCCTGGACAGGAAAACGATTATGGTGCTCGATCGAAGCTTTTGGCTCACAAGACTGACCGTAAAGCAGTGGATTTTGGCGCATGACATCAGCGCCAAGTAGCCACACCAGGAGACCGTGTTGACCAGGCCTCCAACCATTAATCAATCTGGTAAGAAACTGCGACAGTTGCAAGCACACCCTGATTATAGCCCAATGGGACACCGAGGTATAATAACCGTCATATCACGATAAGGTCCAGTCTCTGCGTGACTGACCAAAGTGGTCAGTCACTGGACCCCACAAAACCTCACAAATTGGTCAGATGGGCTGGCACCGGCGAAATTTGAGTCGGAGCTTCGTTTTTCGGCCTTCATGCTTTTGATATAGCCGAACACTAATCCTGCTCTCTGCACAATCAACTGTAATGCAGCACTAAAAGTCCCTCTCCATGATTCAGTTGGTGCTATTCAACGCATGCTCCTTCATATTGCGTCTCCCACAGCACATCAATACCAACTCAGCCTCTTCATCAGGATTCTTGGCAATAATCACTTGAGGCAATACAAGGGAAAAATATGACGCCCCACTGACATACACACGTCAGTCTAATAGAAAAAAAGCCCCACAGTGGAACAGCGATCTAGAGGTGGCTTACCAAATATTCGAGGTGCTAATATCTCCAACACTGTTGGATAATCTGAACAGTACGAACGTCACTGACACCGATTAGTTGCCACATATTTCAGTGTCTCCCGCGAAGCACAGGAAGAGCTTATGATACTTACCAATTTCTGGGGGTGAGATGAAATTTGTAGTAGCTGCGCGATTCACAGTTATATGTCATCATCATCTTCATCAAAGACAGCAACATCAGTGTTGGCATTGATGCATCACTGCCGATATATGTGGACTCGGATGATGCCAGGGTGTCCACAGTAGGTATCGTTAACTAGAGTCTGAGTTTCCAAAGCCCGTCCACAAGCCAGCAGATGTTGGAGTAGAGCCGTCAAAGCGGTATGGATTTTTAGGCAGCAAGTAGCCACGCGTCTTCCAACATGGTGGAAGGATAGACCATTAGCCGGACCTTTACCCACTAACAACTCAGTATTCGGGGCTCTATGAGTATCGTATGCACACTATCCAGTATGGCTAAATAGGTTATGGACATAAACAACCTGTCAAATCATACCATTATCGCAATGGAGAGGACAACAACAACCATGATTCATTTGTAATTTATATCGTGAAGAAAAGAATAAAGGTGGACAAAGAAGAGACATAGTCCTAGCTTACTACAATCATCCCGAGGTGACTACACCTCCAGACACCCAATCTTGATAGAAACCGGTAACAAGAACGCCGTTGACATCTAGTACCAGCCATATCTTGCAGCGCCTCCAAACTGGTGCAATGAGGATCACTCGGTCCCCATCCTGAAAGGTGAGTGGCATCGACAGCACCCAAACGTTTCGTAACCTCTTTCATACATCTCCGCAATTCAAGGGTTGGCCACCTCTCTCGTTCCGCAATTCCGAATTGGGCACAAAAAGCACGCTCTTCTGCAATACATGGCCTAAGCAACGCACCTTCTGGAGCCGGACACAATCCTCAATGAAAGTTCACGTCGCACAACCTGAAATTCGCCATCTAATGGCCTTGTTACGGATTTTCCAACATCAACCCACACAATCTATGGTCCTGAGATGACTGTCGAACATGAAAACTCTCAGTTCCGCTGCTCGAACAGGCCAAGTTTCACAGCCATACAACAAAATAGTCCGCACTGTAGCCTGATACATACATCTCTTGAGATTCAGGGATACAGCACTTTGACGCCATAGGTGTCTCGAATCAGCAAACGCAACCAGAGCCTTGCGAATTCGTGCACTGACCTCATCTGTTACACTAAAATCCAAAATAACGCAACTTCCAAGATACGTAAAACACCCCACAACTTCTAGTGCCTCCTGCTGGATTGTAAATGGCGTGGTCGATGACTGTATGTGCAAAGTGCACACCAAAGGACGGGATGGTTTTCGTCAGTCCATCCAAAAACACCTTCACCTTCTCCTCTTCGAAGACGAAAACAATGTCGCCCCTTCCCCCGAATACTCCAGATCGACAAGGTTTACATCGCAGGCTATTTCAACGAGAGGACTCGGTGATTAGAGCGCGAATTTACTGACCGGGAGGTCCGTGGTCCGAGCCCGTCCTCTGCATCTCGTCTTCACCTGCCTAGACTTGGGCAACAGGACAGTATTTAATTCGGGTGGAATAGAAGCTAGGCAACGAAAGGGTTTTGCAGCTGAACGATTTGAACACCTGGATTATGAAGACCTTGTAGCATTGGTCTCTTTATCTCATCGTCCACGAAATTACATAGGTGTGGACAGAGTGTGCACCCCTGACGGATACCGCTTTGCGTACGGAAGCTTCTGGAGAGCTCTCCATGTACTCTCACACGTGCAGAATTCTGATTATACATAGAACTTATTACGTTCACAAAATTTTGGGGCATTCGCTGAAGGGCAAGCTTGCCAAGCAGAACAGGCCGGTCAACCGAGTCGATTGAGCCTTGGAAGTCCAGTAATACTTAAATTATAGGTTGTCTGTACGTATGACGTTGGTCTAAAACCTGAAAATTTTGTCAACGCAACCCGTTTCAGGCCAGAATTCCGCTTGCCGCTCTTGAGTCAGTGTTTCACGAGCCATCATAATCCGATGAAGCTCAAGCGAGGCCAACAGCCTTGTTAAGACCGGGGCCAAGCTGGTTCTCTTGTGGTTACCACTCACTACGGGCCACTTTAAAAAGTGGGCACTATCAACGACTCGCCCCGGTAATCGGCCGAACGGTCGACGCGCTCTTCTCTATTTGACATGATCACTCCATTCTGATCCTTGATGGTTTCGCTCACAGGTGGGTTCCGGGGGCCGGTCGCGCGAATCAGCTCAAATAATGTACGAGTATTACCAGCTTTCCAGGCCTCTTCCATTCCCTTGGCTTTCTTGTCCACAGACTTCCAGGTCAGGCCGCACGCTCAATTTCACTTGAGGTCTGATATATCATCTCATCAAGCTATGTTCGGGACTGGCTGGGATACGTCTCCGAGGTTAAAGCGGTGCAATTGTTCGATCTGATATCCACTGCTTGAGTAAGCCTGGTAGCGTCGTCCCACAAGGAAAACTCCCAGCGCTGTGCAAACAGGTGGCGATCTCCTCCAAGTATGAATCCACATCTAATGATGGAGCATTTGGAAGACGATTCTGGCGAATTTGTCTAGCAACTGGATTTACCAGTCTCCCAGTTGCCAGATTTTTCTACACGTCACTTGGCTCTGAAAACGAAAGGTGAAGCGGCTCCGGACGAGCGCGTGGTCGGAATCTATAGACGTGTTCCAAAACGATCGGCAGTTAGTTGTTGATTCGTGCCATCTGTAACTGATGGTAATGTGCTCGATTTGAGTTCGACGCCACAACGCCGTTGGAGGTTACGATCTGTTAGATTTACTTCGCTTAATCACGCAAGTTCTGGAGGAGCACATCACGGTCAGTTTAGCTGCATTTGACACACCCATTTCCAATTCGCCATGCTATTGATATGCAATGAGAAACGTGATGAGCCTTAAATAATACCCTGATATCTCTTTAGTGACTAAAATTCACATATTCTAGGGAAGGTTACCCCGCACAGGGCACTGTTTAGGCAAATAACACCTGGTCAGATGTTCCGTTACCTTTCAACCGCTGGTACCTTGTAACAAAGGAGTAAATTGTTGGGGCGCGGCCAGTTTGATAAATATGTAGTTGAATAGCTGTGATAACGGTCGTAGTTCAGCTACAAACCAGATACCACGGTGTGCCAGTTTTGTCAGAGCGACGATTACTTGCGGGACGTATCATGGTGTGCTAACTCCCAAGTTCTTTTTTTGGCTGTGGATAATATGATGGGATATTGATAGCTCGGAAGCATACATTGGTAGCCAACCAGGCGGTTGTTGGTCTTTCTTTCGAGCTTCATAATTGAATTGCAGACGTTTCGTCACCAAACAAGGAGATGCCGTCAGTGTGAACCGATGAAGTCTCCTCGAATTGCGATGGGACTACTGCTCGTCGGTTGCCCAGCCCCGTGGACATGTGAACATTAAATACCTTGGTCGATTTTTCTCCGAGGTGGGCCTGATTACAGAACATTGATATTCCATGTGTTTTGTGGCAGAGCAACCACACGTTAAAAGTCCACGTATTTCTGTCATGGGTGGATGCACATCTCTTCTTGTCGCAAATGCAGAGGACTTTAAGCCCATCTAAGGCAATGCATACCATCTGGTCATCCTGTAGTCGACTACCGCAAGACTTCTCAACAGTGGTCTTTGTCGTTTGACACCCGGAATGACTCAGATGAATTGCTCCCTCTCTGCTGATGCTTCACTGAAACGAATGCAATCAATTTCTAAACTCCAAACTACTGCGTCGTTTGTTCGGTACTAACTAACCTCAGAATTCTGAAATCAGGTGATACCCGTGGTTCCCAGCCGATTTGAACAAGTGGATAATGAGTCCACGTACGCATCTGTCGCGTTTTTCGTTTTAGTAGAGTTTACTCACGTACCGTAGTCCAAAAACCTAGATGAAATCCATGACATAAAGAACGATTTTAGACTATGGCAGTACTTCACAAGTATTCCTATTTTGGGAAGTTAACCTGGGATGAATCACAACGGCAGATTCTATCCACCTCTGGAATTTGGAACAACACGACGTTCTAGGAAGAACGCGTTGGTTGTGGATGCTAGAGGACACGGTAAAAATGTATCGGTTGATCCGAGATTTTCCATCCAACACGATCCATTCTGACGACGGCTAACCAGGACTATTGTTGATGCACGCCTACCGACTCGGGAGGAAGCCATACATTTTTTTCTGCATATATGCAGAAAACGCTCAAAATCGATCATTCATGGATGCCCTCAAATCGAAGACAGTACGTACCACCTAAATATTGTGGTGATTGTAGTATTCACGCTATGGAAGCACCAGGAGACTCTGATTCTCCGAAGGTAGGTGTTCGCGGTGATTTCTGTAGATGGAAAACAGAGACAACGCTCATGAGCCGAATCCCAGTAAGCAGGGTTGTACATCACCCATCCTTACATATAAATCAACCAAACTGACAAATACTATACTACAGTGATGTCCGGAGGACAGCCTTCAACACAGGGGGTGTTATTGTAATTGGAATATGCACGCTATGGAAGCACCAGGAGACTCTGATTCTCCGAAAGCAGGTGTTCGCGACAATTTCTGTGGATGGAAAACAGAAACAAAGCTCGTGAACCAAAGCCCAGTAAGCGAGGTTGTACATCACCAATACTTACATATGAATCAATCAAACTGACAGACAACGTACACTACATAATGACCGCAATCGACGCCAATAGGACCGATGCGCCATTACGCGGCTATGCCCTGATTGGTCAGAATGTCAGCCAATAGTGATCGAGCATCTTTAGCTCGACGCTTCTCGCCTGTTCACGAAGATCCTGCAACGACTTCAGGGAATATTCTGGGATGACCCCGTAAATGCGATTGTAATAATAATCATTTTGCAATGTGCCCGCGTGTATGAAAATTATCCAAATTCACTGTGTCAATACTTTGAGGCCAGCAGCCTGGTTGCGCTGAAAAGAAGAATGCGGCGTATCAGATGAATATATCGGTAAGTTGGTAGCCTTCACGAACTCTCCACAGAAAAGCACAAGAACGTAGTTTTGGTGGTTTTTTCTCCGAGCACCAGAACACGTGTCGGGGATGACAGCAGCAGAATGCGGGGGTACAAACATATGAACATACAAAAAGGGCCATTAGTCCAGTGCTCTCGCTCTCCTTTCAATGGTATTAAAGGATGCATTCATGTTCTAACCGCTGTAATTTCTGAAATTGAAAAAATTGATTGTAAACAACTATGGCGCACATTCTGCCATATGCCAGCGCATTACATAGCCCCAGCCGGCGTTCAGTATTCGCACAATGGAATTGAGTTTTGGAAAGCTATGACGTATTCCTGATGGACTAAAGCAGACAGGCGATTGGGTTCACGGTACCAGTTCAAGCTTTTGAGCTTCATCTGCACAGCCCGTTTCTCAGCGATGCTAGGAAAGTGTTCCACCAGATTTTTCTGCCAGGGTTATTTTTGTTTCCGTGGACAATTAAATTTGGCGACCTGCAAAAATATGAAGGTATATTTTAATGGATTGTATTTCGAGCGCACAGGCAACGAGATGAATCATTTCGGCGCAGAAAAGTTTTATTCCACTTGCAGTGATTTTGCAGCTACGAGCATTGTGCGAATGACCAGCCCCAGCCCCCGCTAATCAAGTCGCCATTCACAGCACCATCGGGTATCATGTTTGCCGAATTGAGACAAGTGGAGTGCACCTCGTTGGACCAGTTAGGCTTATTGGGGTCAATAAGCAAGCAAGTTACGTCAGTGAAAGCTTGATCTATGGAATGGGTCCCTCCAAAGCCCTATGGAACTTAGCCGGTAAACCACCGAGTGGAGCAGGTTCATACAACCAATCCCTATCGCTGGGGCTGAACAAAGTATCCTTTGCAGCCCCGCCGTGGTATTGTTTTTTATTTCTGGGTTTCCCACAAGTGTTTCCAGGTCAGTTCATGACCGCGAACGAGATCCGCTTGCATTCGTTCCACGAATACCAAAGAGTATAATGATTCCGGTGCCAGGGTAGCTAAAAGTGTACCGAAAGATATTCGCATCTCCCGGCCTGTTGTCATAAGTGATGGGGTGTGCCTGATAGATGTCTGGTTAGTATCATGGTAAGCCAAAAGAGAGCGCAGTAATCTAGCATCCAAATTTTCATACCTTTCGTGGTTAATAAGGACTTTTAGCAGACATTTCAAAGTTCGATTTGCGCGTTCCATCATGTCACTGCCCCAAAGATGCTTCGCCGTATTGCGAGTTTTCCTAATATTAAATTTGTGACAGCTCTTCGAACAAGATGCTTTCGAAGTTGAAATGTTGGTCAGTGTAAATGTGTTAGGGTTCACTCCAGCGCGCAATCCCCCGGTGAACGGAGCTCTGGCCATTGTTCAGGTGTTCACTTTTGAAACAGGAATGGCCTCGCACCACCCCGTGGAATGATCAACCGTCGATGGGATATATGTATTACCCCGATCCGTCCAAGGCAACGGCCATACAATGTCTACACCAATCATTTCGTTTGGAAACCCGGCTTTCATCGTTTGCAATTGTGCTCGCCCACTTGGTCTGCGAACTTCCCTTGACCACACTCTGTGCACCATTGCTAATACGAGGCAAAATCACGCCGCACGTTTCAACCAAGACCGCCGATTTGTTGACTTCTCCAATTTATTATGTTCCGCATGACCTAATTCTTTATGAAGGTGCTGCAAAAATGTCTCGACTGCTGTGGTTGGTACCATAGTACGACGCAAATATGTAAGATCATTTTGGTGGGAGAGTACACCACTAGTCACACTCAGCTGTGACCAAAGAGCCCAAAGACAGCGCGTGGATTGCTCCACGCCTTTCATTTTAACACTGGGTGGCCGATGTTGGTCGTGAAACGGCCGAGGATAGATGAGTTTAAACTCTTGATCTGAAGACTGAACAGCGATCTACTCCTCATTTTTCGGTGCGTGTTAAGATATCGATGGCACGTGAGAAATCGTGCATTACGCACACTCGTTGTGATCGCAGAGAGGTCGGCGTGAAATAGGCTTTGAACTTCCGTGTAATTCACTCGCTCGATTCTTGGCTCTTGAAATCGTATCATCGCAGATACTTTGCTATCTGGCTATTCGGCCCCGTGGGTAGCGGAAGTTTCTGTAACCACAGTAACTATTCGTGGACCCGAAACTTGTAACACATAAGGTTGTGGCAGAAGTGTTGAAAGAACTTTACAAACGCCAACATTTTCCTTGTCAGTTGTACACTATCGCTTCTCTCGATGAGCAAGAAGTAGGCTCGCACATGCGATGACACTTTCTACCGTGTCATTTGAACGCTGAGGCACAATCTCAAGAATATCGTTCTCGATCGCATCAGTGGCGAAAATAAAGGCACCAGCAAACAGTGATATATCCTGATATGTCGTGATAGGCATGGAACGCAAGTAGTCACAGAGTTGTTTTATTCTTTGCCANAGTAGTCACAGAGCTGTTTTAATTCTTTGCCATGTCTCTCGAACGAAACAGAAAGAGTGTTCGTTTCCAGAGAGGATAAAAATCTCACAGTGACCTTGACGACCCCAACTACAAGGAGATGGTAATATGAAGCCAGTTCTATTAGAATGTGTTCTATCTTGGCGGAATCACATGGGATTCCGTGGTCCCAGATTAGAAAGCTCACGTTTTATTCAGGTAATGCACCTTTCGACGGCTTCAACTTTATTCAAAGTCACTTGAATGTGTCCAAGTCAAGCCTTGGGTTAGCGTTGTGCACCGAGACTGTAGTACCGCGCAGATAATGTCATCCAAGTAGACCAGACACTTACCCGAAATTAGCCCAGGCAGATCGGCGTACATGAGACACTGGGATGTGACTGGGGCGCCGGTTAATCCAAAGTGAATGGCTTGGAAACTCTATATAAGCCTGATGGGATCACAAAAGCGGTCTTCTAATGGTCGTCAGGATGTTCTTCTACTTGCCAGGGGTCAAATCCAGTGCTAAACCGGGCTGCGTTCCCGGGGCTTCTAAGGTACTAGCATCGCGTGGTAGTAAGAAATAGTCTTTTTGGTGATGGCATTCAACCTGCGTTAGTCAAAACAAACTTGGAAGGTCATCGTGTTTCTTCACCAAGACTACCGGTTTGCGGCTGTCGTTGTTCAGCCGTCCAACAACTATTTCATTCAACGGGTCTTGGAACTTAACTAGGGCCTTGGTGATGGGCGGATGCGTCTGTTATCTCCAGTGTCGATGCAATTAGGCATCCGAACTTTTCCAAGAAAAACTTCGGCGTACGCCGACGGAACTCACTCTAGCTACGCATCCACCGACCATCTTGCCGCAGATGACAGCTCGGACAGCGAAACGTCTAAATTGATGGACAAGGCTCGACAACACACTTCGGAGGCACCACTAGCCGTGGTGATGAGTATTAAGTTCCTCTCAAACCCAATCGTACCTTCTGGAAGGACGGGCTTCACTTGTTGGCTCCTCGAAAAACCTACTCTTAGTATGACGTCCCACGGTAAGTTACCAACGACTAAAATAAGCTGGTGAAGTATAGTAGGTCGCAAAATATGCGGCATCGTTAGCCAACCCTAAGCATGGACCGTGCTCACTTAGAAGCCATGGGTTTGAAAATACGGAGTCCAAAAGTGCTCGCAACTAATAGTAATCTTTTAGCATTTATTAGGCAAAAGCCTGCATTGAGTCAGTCGAAACATTGTACTCCCTACTCCAAACACGCTCGCCTACTTTAGGAACTGTCGCAATGTACTCGAAAAGTCTGAATTGCAAATTTGAACGCGTCGTAATGGACAGGGTTCTCGTAAGCTTGTGGCGGGCGCATGCCAGATGAAAACACGCATGTATAGCGCGGTGTTGATTGGGATAGGCAGGCTAGGTTAGTGGTAACACGCATATTTTTGAGTGTGAAGGGCCGCCATTGGTCGTTGGACTTGGTTACCGTGCACAAGTGTGACCTGGTTTTCGGCGTCGCACATGGACAAGGGCCCAGGATTTACGATAAGTGGTCAACGGCTATCGTTCCCACAGTGACCGGCAATAGATGCCCTTGATAGCCATAATAATGCTTATGGTGTTTTCTCTCCATGGAGCACATTCCTAATGGGAATGTTATCGTCGCGCTTGCTATTTATCTACATTGACTCCTGTCGCCATACTATCCAAAGGTTAGTCATGCGTATCTGGGAAAAGGGAGCATCCACGGAGATAACCCTCACAATGACGCAGTTTTCTAACACTGTCACGCTGAATGGAAAACGAACTATAATTAAAATATGCTGTGCTGACGTTTGTTCAACAAAAACGCCATTTGTTAAATCTGGGTGGTATCCAGCAAACAAACGCCCGTGACCGATTTTCCCGGAGAGAATTTGAAATTATGCTTACTTACATAAAGTCCCATGGGCAATATATCTTCTGAAGACTAACTCCCCTTAAAGCCACAACTTCGGAAACCGTATAGTTTTGGTGCTTCACGTGTTGTTTTTTTAACTGAAAAACGTGCTCATATTACTAGTTCCTTAGGATTCCTCGACGTTCCGTTTGTCCTGCAGGCTGCCTGCTGCCTACGTAGTGCGCCCATCCGAACGCAAAAAATCTTGATGCTTTTATTATTAGACGGAAGCGTAGATACCACGTAGTTATCGTTCTTGATTCGTCTAACGCATGTCAAACGCCGGGAAAAATGAAGAGGATACAAAACCCATTCTATCGATATACACACGAAGACAATTCTGAAGCCATGGCACGGCAAGTTCAAAGTCGAATGCGCGCCAAACAGTTAGATAGAAGAGTAATTGAATCAGAGTGCAAAAAATGGACACAGATTCGATTACTTTTGGCTCATGCACAAAATAAAACAAACAAAATGCAACATCTTGGCGTGAAGTTTTTTGTTTTACTCGCAGGGTATTGCGGATAAAGGCACTTTGCCTCTTAGATGCGGTCTTTGCCTGTATGGTGCTAACTGAGTCAACCGTTTCTTTCGATATAACACAGCGAGCAGCGTGGGAAACAGACACAGTGTTGCAAGACATTTCAGCTAGTCACAAATGTGACCAACCTGTTTCCAATTCACTTGAAGATCTCAGGGAATTTCCTGGCCAAATAACCATGCCCAAATCAGAACCTTCCCAGATGTTATACCTTCGGTAGGCTCATGGTCGCCTCCTACTTCTTTCCAACTTTGATGCCCGTCCCTTAGGTCTTGTTCTAAATTGAGATAACACGTTAGTATGTCCAAAAAAGCTCAGATCGGTTAAAAAGCCAAGTCGGCTGATGTAAAATATTTGACCTAGCTCACCATTCGGACCCCAGCGTTAACCACACTTTAGGTTCAGAAGGATCAAGGTTCGTTTCTGTGCGCGTGAACCTACGTTAGAGGCAGAAAGTAGAAAAGACTGACTTACCTTAAACTCGGTAATATGAAAGTCTGCTTGACTGGATGGCACTCTCATACTATGGTCTCAGTCATGCGTGGAATTTCCCTTACTATCAAGGAGGGGACCTGACAGCTTGGCACGCTCCAACCATTTTCAGACATCCTCTGAGTTTCCCATTGATCAACGAGTAGTGTTTGCTCTTGATGGAACCGGTTGAATTCTCTGTGGCCGCACCAACGATAACTCTGTGCTTGAGGTTTATAGCTTATGCGAACCTCTCAGGGATGGCGATAATAATAAAAGGAAAAGTTTAAAGGCTGCAACCTCGCGCTGGCTGGAGACTCCAGTTGGTCCCAAAAAGACTGTTCGCTTATCTGACAAGGACAAGATTGGGTCATGACATCCATGTTCAGTGACGCAAAGACGCCTACCATCACAGCACTGTTGACAATTCCAAGCCTGACGCACTTGCTGCCCGGTACTCCTCGGCGACTTCTAGGGCGGTAGGTCTGACAAGAAGCCCTGCAACCTGTTACATTCATCTCAAAACTAGTTAGAGCATAGATGTCGAGGACATATTTTTAACCGTTTTTCGAACTCGACCTGATTTCTATTCTTTGTCCGTTCTGGTAAGAACGGTCGCGAACTGCACCGCCCATCCAATCCCTTAGATCTTGCGCCTCTCAGCTCAAGATGTCTGAAGCGTTCCCGACACCATTTTTGTGCAAATTATCGTTTTCTGTTTGGTTTACTAAAGCTTTCTTTTAACCCATTTCCTAGTATGTATTTCTATACATCCACGGAGTATCTTGGTCCGGTCGTTTCCTCTTCCACGCAGGAACAGTGCGTTCTAATGTGGCAGGTAGAATGAGGAATATGAACTTCATTTAAGAGGCGGGGGAGCTCAACATTTCGAACGACAGAGGAGTTCGTTAAGAAAAAATGGTTTTTGGCGAGGAGGATTCTCCAAAAGGATAGATGCTGACCATATTTAGGGGAGGGAGCAAGGATAGATAGCCAGCGGCCCCGAGAATGTGAATCGTGCTCTGGACCCGTGGGCTGTGAATGGGGAAATTACGTTTTGAACGGAGGGCTTCTATATGTCTGAGTTTTAGTTCTGGTAGTTCTGGTGGCCCATATTTTCGGAGTCGAGGCCCGAACCACCACAGTCTCTTTGAACGTATATATTCTGTGGGCGGGGGCAGTGATATTCCAACTAGGATCTAGGAGTAGTATGTGTTCCCACGACCTGTACGTTTTTCATGCATTCGCGATGAAAATCGTCTGGCTGTCTTCCGAAGACATTGTCCCAAAATCACTCTTGCTGCTGGCCTTTTCAAGAGATTCGAAATTCAAGCTAACCAGCACTGGACAATCTTTCTTAAAACCATCAATTGTCTGGTTTGAATCAACCAATGTCTATTTGAAACCAAGGTGTATGTAATTGCAAAAATATAAATTTTCCTTACATTGCATTGCTAAAAAATGAGGTCAAGTTTTCAGTCAGCGGTTGTCTACTCTGACCGGCTGCATCAACGAAAAGGAAACTGTCCCAGACAACTGCACCGAATCGGTGATAGTGCCCACTTTTTAAAGTGGCCCGTAGTGAGTGGTAACCACAAGAGAACCAGCTTGGCCCCGGTCTTAACAAGGCTGTTGGCCTCGCTTGAGCTTCATCGGATTATGATGGCTCGTGAAACACTGACTCAAGAGCGGCAAGCGGAATTCTGGCCTGAAACGGGTTGCGTTGACAAAATTTTCAGGTTTTAGACCAACGTCATACGTACAGACAACCTATAATTTAAGTATTACTGGACTTCCAAGGCTCAATCGACTCGGTTGACCGGCCTGTTCTGCTTGGCAAGCTTGCCCTTCAGCGAATGCCCCAAAATTTTGTGAACGTAATAAGTTCTATGTATAATCAGAATTCTGCACGTGTGAGAGTACATGGAGAGCTCTCCAGAAGCTTCCGTACGCAAAGCGGTATCCGTCAGGGGTGCACACTCTGTCCACACCTATGTAATTTCGTGGACGATGAGATAAAGAGACCAATGCTACAAGGTCTTCATAATCCAGGTGTTCAAATCGTTCAGCTGCAAAACCCTTTCGTTGCCTAGCTTCTATTCCACCCGAATTAAATACTGTCCTGTTGCCCAAGTCTAGGCAGGTGAAGACGAGATGCAGAGGACGGGCTCGGACCACGGACCTCCCGGTCAGTAAATTCGCGCTCTAATCACCGAGTCCTCTCGTTGAAATAGCCTGCGATGTAAACCTTGTCGATCTGGAGTATTCGGGGGAAGGGGCGACATTGTTTTCGTCTTCGAAGAGGAGAAGGTGAAGGTGTTTTTGGATGGACTGACGAAAACCATCCCGTCCTTTGGTGTGCACTTTGCACATACAGTCATCGACCACGCCATTTACAATCCAGCAGGAGGCACTAGAAGTTGTGGGGTGTTTTACGTATCTTGGAAGTTGCGTTATTTTGGATTTTAGTGTAACAGATGAGGTCAGTGCACGAATTCGCAAGGCTCTGGTTGCGTTTGCTGATTCGAGACACCTATGGCGTCAAAGTGCTGTATCCCTGAATCTCAAGAGATGTATGTATCAGGCTACAGTGCGGACTATTTTGTTGTATGGCTGTGAAACTTGGCCTGTTCGAGCAGCGGAACTGAGAGTTTTCATGTTCGACAGTCATCTCAGGACCATAGATTGTGTGGGTTGATGTTGGAAAATCCGTAACAAGGCCATTAGATGGCGAATTTCAGGTTGTGCGACGTGAACTTTCATTGAGGATTGTGTCCGGCTCCAGAAGGTGCGTTGCTTAGGCCATGTATTGCAGAAGAGCGTGCTTTTTGTGCCCAATTCGGAATTGCGGAACGAGAGAGGTGGCCAACCCTTGAATTGCGGAGATGTATGAAAGAGGTTACGAAACGTTTGGGTGCTGTCGATGCCACTCACCTTTCAGGATGGGGACCGAGTGATCCTCATTGCACCAGTTTGGAGGCGCTGCAAGATATGGCTGGTACTAGATGTCAACGGCGTTCTTGTTACCGGTTTCTATCAAGATTGGGTGTCTGGAGTTGTAGTCACCTCGGGATGATTGTAGTAGGCTAGGACTATGTCTCTTCTTTGTCCACCTTTATTCGTTTCTTCACGACATAGATTCGACTGAATCATGTTCGTATGGCATCGATGAATCAGCGTTAAATACCGTTTGACTGCTGTTGGGATATCGGACACTATGTCTCTTCTTTGTCCACCTTTATTCGTTTCTTCACGACATAGATTCGACTGAATCATGTTCGTATGGCATCGATGAATCAGCGTTAAATACCGTTTGACTGCTGTTGGTGACGATATCGGACGGTCCAGCAATTTACTGTATAATTTTGATCTTTTGTCAACGGCATTGCCAGTTGTGTCGTAATTTTTGTTAGAGCGCTGCCGTTACATTTGAACAAAATCTGGTGTTTAGCGTATGACGGACATTTTACTGCGATATGTGTTTACATATTAAATAGAGCTCCACAACCTTCCAAGTAATCAAACTATAACGTTTGTTTTGGATAAACGACGGGATTCCACCTTCACTCATTCACTGTTAGCGTCAAATTATAGGGCTGCCATGGGTCGTTAGCTCTTCTATTTAATTTGTGACAAGTGCTCTTTTTAAATGAGGAGTAGCTCAGAATTTGTGGACTTCCATTTCATGGGATGGGTCAATTCTAAGAAAAAACACGCAAAATCTTACAAGAATTAAATAATTCATTTAAGATCCTAATAGAATATTACCAAGTGCATGCGGTTGCTAAAGTACTTACTGCTGAAAATCTGTGATAAATACTCCATAAATTTCGTTTGAGTAGTTTATGGTTTAAGGAAAACGTACGATGTTTCCTTTCATTCCATTTCTGTGTTATCATTGGGGTGCATTACGAACATTTTGCAACGTACTTGCGAACAGAATAGTAAACTGTCAATTCAATTTCACGCAAGTTCAGCACCTCTTGATTACTATGGATATATTTATTTTCATAATTTTTGTTCCTCTGGCAACGCATTCTCATATGGGGCATTGGCTATAATCTTCTTCTCGTTTTCTTCGAAGACACTAATCTGCAATCTATGGGGAGCATCAAAATACTGAATAGGTCTAAGAGGGCGCAAGACGGCTTTCTGAGCTGACCAAAAATCTTAGTCTTTAGCCTTGAAAATCAAATTAAAACGATGAAAAAAAATTTCATACAAGCATTCAACAAAACGTCAAAAAATATGTGGAATTCCGTCAATAACTTGTGAAAACCACCCAATTTTCACGTTGCGTTAGATTAGGTTTGGTTGTGATGCTTTTCTAGTATAGAATGTTTTTCTGGTTGCTGTTATTTATCCGTAATAGAATCAGACGCGCCGACAGTGCGAAAATCAGGATAAAAAGTAGAATAAATGTAGGTGGAATTTTTTCCAGCAGCATTTCTTAATAATACTTGACTACTTGAAAGATTAAGGGGCTGAATCGGCAGAGTTGAGATATGCGGATTCCATCTAGCAGCCAAAATCATTAATTTGAAACACATTTGCGCGCTTTCCATAAGAGCTTTTTAACTATTGTTTAGACAATGGTTTTTGACAATTAATCTAGGCATTGCGGCTGGCCATATATGTTGTGCTATGGCATCCAAAGTTACCAAATATAAAGAGCATAATTTTAGACAATCATTGACTAGCGCTCGAGCACCTTGCAACTTTTTAGTGGAAAATTTTGAAGGCCCGTTACAATTATGTTACAGTGTAAAGGATATTGAGCAAGCAATTGAACAAATTTTTGAATCAGTAAAATGTAACCAAGCTATGGTTATCCACAAGAGAATCACTCTGTAAAAAGGGTGTTGGCAACTGACCGCAAGCGCTGTTCTCATCAGTCTAAAGGTATTAGACCACCAGCTGTTGTGACGGCTTGAATGTTTTTAGGCCAGAAACTCTCACGGTTGTAACCAAAACCAGTACTATCAACATTAGGTGTTAGAATCAGCAGGTATATCTCATCACCGCCTATATTTTTCCAACGCCAGAATTACTTAAATATAAATACTGTCACGTTTCCGGTAGAAATTATCAACAATCAGCCTACGGTAGTTTTAGTTGCGATAATTTTGAATTATTTCCATGTTTTTTTTGCTTTTAAGGTTGCTTCCGCATCGTTTGTAGTCAAAGTCTATTTCAGCAGAAACAAATTTTGAACGGCTAACATGATTGAGTCCCCTAACAGATCAATGATCCACGAGGCAGTTAAACTAGGAGATTTAAAATCAGTGAAAAAAATGATTTCCGAAGGAGCGGATGTAAATGAGGCAGATGATCAATCTTTCACCCCACTGCATTGGGCCACTAATGTTGGTGCAATTGAGGCAAGAAAACACTCTTACTCTTCAATCAACTATTACTAGGTTCTTCAATACCTGCTTTGGAAGGGCGCTGATCCCAATATTGTGACAACTCGTGGCTGGTGTGCTTTGCATATTGCTGCCATTCGGGGTTATGAACCGTGCATTCAGTCGCTGGTCGACAGGGGTGTTTGTCTTTCTACACAGGACAGTCACGGTCTAACTCCTGGCCACTTGGCTGCGATCCACGGAAACTCCGGTTGTCTACTAGCGTTATTAAAATCTGGAGCAGTAAGTGCAAGCATGATATTTAAGTATTCAACGAGGCTTAAAACTTCGTACCCATTGTTTTCTGAGTCAAATTTGAAAAAGTTTTTTTAAAAGAGCTTGTTATCATTATCGCAAATCTCAATGAAGCTGGACAATGGAAAATCCTTGGCGAATCTTCCTCCACACATTACTGAAGACTGTAAATTTGAATTATGTTCAAATTATTTCCTCTCTATTTAGTTGAGCGGACAAACGATGAAATCACAACACTTTTGTATTGATATGAATCATTGTGAAACAAAAATCACTGTTCAGTGGCATGTAAAGTCACATTCTCTTATGTCTTTCTGCTGAACAGAACAGCAAACCTACCGAAGTGACAGCAACTGGATTGACGGATGGCAACTGTGCTTTCCTCAACCCAGAATAGCCGTCTTTTTAGACACCACCAATGGGTGGACGATAATGAGGGAGAACACTACTCTGTGTGAAACATTCATGCGGAACTTAAAACATGGATTTCAATTTCACCTATTTTAAACAATAACACACTCTTGTGCAGGGATTATAATGGTCCATCCGCCGTTGAGGAGCAATTTTCAGAGTCTTGTGTGGATTCTATTTGGCGGGCTAGAACGGAAATGTTCACAAAACGTATGGTTTGCTAATGCAAGCCGGTCTGTTTTGACCGTCAACCGCTTGTTAGTTGCAAATTAGTCAGGTTTTAGGTATATCAAAAGGCAAACAAACACTTTGGTCCCAACTAAAAACTTAAACTATAGACAGCTAGACTAATATCCATCGTATAATGTGAAAATCTAGTCCGGTCATTAATGAATTAACTGTAGCCGTGTTGTCAATAGTGCAGTCTATTTAGAACATATTTCCCCGTAAGTTAACCTATCGCAATGTGCCGCTCTTCCTCTGTGTAACATCGCTTACGTAGGTAATTACTACGATATAGAAGTGAAGATGGCACACTCATCCATGGTTTTCGACAGCCTTTAGGACATCTTATATCTTCGTATGCTTAATTATCTGTTTTTTGCAATCACTTATCTAATGCCACGCAAATGTTTTTGCACAGGGTCCGCTCTTGAGTGAGCACAGACAAATTTGTGTGTCGTACTCGATTATATGAAACATGCTTTGATATTCTAAGAGAAATTGCTGAAACAACGCAATTTTTACTTAAAATGCCGAGACCCAGTATGTATGTTTGGTCTGTATGTTTTGTTCTCAACTTTAAGAGGTTTGGAGAGGAGCACCAGTTTACCAGTCCGTTGTTTTATGGTTCAAAACCATCATAGCTAGTAAACTGCTTCCATTTATTTTTTAGTTGTCTATCAATACATCACTCCGTATGTTTACTTGCTCTTGATTGACGTGAAAGCTACTTCAAAATTTCGATTGGGCTACCATATAAACACGAGGATGGTGCCAAATATTTTGACAACATATTCACGTTGGGTTGTCTCTTCCATAAAGGCAACTTCTAACAAAATCGTTAACCAACGTATTCTGAGAGCACTGACGTACATTATCCGAATATGTGCGACCCAGACCAAGCCGATTACATGATCAAACTTACTAAATTTTGCACCAGAAACACGCACCACCGTTGAATGGCAAATCATCCTTGGCACAGGTGACCATGCTTAGCTATGCTTGTTAAAACAATCTACCGTGGCTACAATTAAACATTTCTGACAGTTGGTTGACTAACTGAGTAGTTATACATGGTACTTTTGGTTAATTCCATAGGCGTTTGATTCTGAGCTAATTCTTAGTGCATCTGACAATTGAAAATCGGTTCAAAGCTGCTTAAAGTATTTCACTTTTATAGGGGCCAAAATTATCAGTATTCTACCGCCTACAATTTTCCTTACATGTATCTTGAAGAACTGTTGTTGTGATAGACTAATTGCTATCATTATCCTAGCCGCTTGACAATTCTGAGTCAAGGGCACCATAAAACATTGGTCTACCTAAAGTGGCCAAACTTCAGGCTTCAAGGTCGGTGTGGACCATAGGGTGGGATTTTCGCTGAATCAAAGCACAAGTGCGTGAATTTGTAGTGTATTCACGAAATATTCGAAGTTCAACTAGGTAGTACTTGGCTGTCAAATGGATGCTCAATCAAACGTCAGTCCACTGTAATCAACCTCAAAGTACGTTTCAGAAGTAATTATGGCTAGCGAAAATAAATTTGACTTGTCGTCCAACTGCCTGCCAGACATATAATCCTTAGGCCAGATAAACTAAGTACACGGCTCACTGAGGACCAGTTTCCTGGCACTTATTTCAGTATTGTGGTGCTGTTCATGCTTTCTCATTGCTGTGCACTTTTATCTTGCAACTGTTCTACACAATGTATGGGTAGGATTATTTGGTACGAGTTCTAGAGGACCAAAGTCCATATTTGCAGGACAGATAGACTAGCTAAACAAGCAATAAGCGCTGTTTCTAAGCACCCAGTCGCTACAAACCCCCAAGTTGGTCCTATCCTTTAGTATAATGTAACAAACTGAGAAGCACAGAGTCAATAAAAGTTGAAGCAACCATAATTTAGATTTGTGTCACATCAATGTCACCAAACTTGAGCTTGGGCTTAGATAATTTTGTGATCCATCAACTGCATTTTTTCAAAAACGAGGCATATTGTCAGCATTTTTACACCAACAATAAGAAAGCGTTGCATAGCATCTTAACTTCGTTTCAAACTAAACAGCTACAATTTCCGAATGAGACGCTACCGAACACGATTGTTTGCATGCTTGTTTGCTCTTAACTTAAATGAGAAAATTCAGTAGGTACAAAACGACTGACACGGGATTGAAGGCAAAGTACACTTTCTAGCAGCCTGAAGATATAATCCTTTTCAAATGCAATTTTATCAACTGTCTTTGAGATCCTGCCACTTACAGTGAACGCTTTAACTGGTGCCAGAACATGAGTGCACAAATGACATACTGTGAACAGCGAGGCCTCTCTCGTGGTTCAGTAATGAAATTGAAACCAGTCTCTGATCTTTAGCTATTTATACTGCACTGAATTTTTTGGCACAGCAAAATGTCGGTTTGGAGTTCCCTCCTAGTCCATGTGGCAGGAATCTTTGACAGTTACGTCAGAAAATGGGTTGTGACTCAGTATAACAATCTGTTGTGCTGAAACCATGCACTACGTAACACGTATCAGGGGAATAGAACCAGCTGATACATACCAATATTTAGTTTACTGAACGCAATTTAGCAATAGATATTTGAGCTTACCGTATCGTCCGTTAAGGCCAATGAAAGTATATATCAACTGTAATGGCTGAGCCAGTTTTCCAAATGAAACACAAAATGCGAACACCTAAACTGTGAAACACTTGCTTACTTTAAGTTTCAAGAGGGAGCAAACCGAAGTACACACCATCCTATGAAAATGCTGACTTTGTAATTTGGTTCTATAAGCATTTCTGAACAATTTATGGGCACCACGTTAGCAGTACACGCAAGGAATAAAGATATGAAAGGTTACCTGTCTTTCTGGTGAAACGACCCCTTGGTAGGATATCCCCAATTTTCCAAGTGCATGCACGTTTCAACGATATTTTAGTTAAGTTCCACCCTGTCATGGAGAATGCAGGCATCTGAAGTGGGAATTTTCTGATCTTAAAATCAACTACAGAATACCGCACATGCTCCAAAACAGCCCTGCCTTGGCATAGGATAGTCGTACCCATTGAGAGCGACTTAGTACATCTGAATAAAACTAACATCCGTTTTTCCTGTAATATTTCCTACATTTAGTGTACCTTCCAAGCTGAAACTAGCAGTGTAGATTAGCTGGGGAAAAAAACACATGAGTCATATCAAAACACTGCTGTGAAAGGCTAAACAAAATGTGAACTTATAAAAATCGATTGCATTCTGATCTCTCTTGGGCGAGTGTAGTTTGATATCAGGCTGAAAGCACGCGTGAAATTATAGGAAATTATTTTCTCTTCTTCTGTCTCTTACGGAGGTAAGAGTGCAAGAACTGGATGTTTTCCAGTGACGATTAGCCTGTTTCTTCTCAGGTTCTGAGAAGTACCCGCATTGCAATTAATGAAAACCGCCAGAGGAAAGACGAGTTTTCTTTTTCAAGCTTTTTCGAAAGAATTTCAGGTAAAAGGGCGGTGCTGTAAACCTTTGTTAAAAATTACGAATGGTCTAAACTATATTTCATTTAGACGTTTTATCTTACACAGCAGTTAACGAGCAGAGAGATTTGCACCTACCAGGATCAAATATAATGAATTCGTCGGGCGGTTTCAGTTCGGTTGGTCGACAAGTTTTATTGAACCGACCAGAATTTGATGTATTGCGAAAGCGAATCCCCAATTCAGTAATGTTTTAAGATTATTAGTTTATTGGTTTAGGGTGGAACACTTCTTTATGACGTGCCGATATAGATGAGAGCAATTGTAAATATGACCGCCTCAAATCACATAAAGAGAGCAATCTCTGTCGTGCCAATTGAAGAATAGCTTACATTATTCGCACACCATGTTATCTCATTCATTGTTATTTTTGGGAGAAAGTTCCCATAACCTAAATCTTTTCCAACTTGAGGTGGGTGGGAGTGTCTTGCTGGTTTCACATTCGAGTCAAACGCCGTAAGGACGAGAGAGTCTGCTGTGCTTTGCGTAACCCCATTTAAAACAGGCACTAGCAAATAGGGCCACGGTAAGTGATATGTTGTAGAGCTTACACAGATTCACTACAATGAAGATATCCTCGTGGATTTAAGTTACATCGAGTAGCTCAGTTTCTCCTTTTTATCATTACTCTCAATATCTACTGCCTTTTTGAGGAGGAAACTTCCATGAAGAAGTAGAATTGGTCACATTTAGTTTTCTTGGTCCGACCGAAAAATGATAAGTGCACGCTTGTAACATGTCTTTTCCTCAGTCGTCATGTATCTTTTACCAGAGGCCTGACAAATTTAGCTTTGTTCTTTTGTCAATTTCTTTATGCAAAATTCACATATCGCTAGCTAACGTTTTGCGGTTTGGGTTAAAAATAATCGTACATCTGTGTCTCTTTATCATTTCACTTGTATTATGCAGAGTGAGGAAACTTCGAGGGTTTAACTAATGTCAAGCGGCAGTTCAGACAAGTACAATTGAGAAGCTAAAGTTATTAAAGAACATCGAAATTTTCGGTCAGTGTATTTGTGTTTTACCACCAAGTTACCTCGAGCCAATAGCCAAAGGATCATCGAATGCGTTCCTGTTTCATGTAGGATGTGGAAACTGTGGATGGGCACGGTTGGACAATGTTGCATTGTGCCGCTTTCCACGGAAGGTTGGGATGTGTCCAGGTGTTACTTCGGTGGGGACTTCGGGTTGAAGATGTTGACAAGTCCGGAAATTCTGCAGGTAATGTGCTTTAAACCTATGGAACAGGTTGGTGACATTTGTTATAATTGAGAATGACAACACAGCTAACATTCATATTACTGCTCATTATAACAGTGATGATAAAGCAAATGTGGGAGTGGGAGATTTGTGTTCCTCAGCCAAGTCACTTCAAGGGGCTACATTTTTGGGATACCCAGGTGCCAGAGATTGTAGACAAATAGTGTTTATCTATTTTTATGCATCTTTATGATCTTGAGAGGTAAACCGGCACATGAACTTTTAGAGTGGTAAAATGTGATGAGTTATTTTTTCCTAGTTAAAAGGAGGGCCCATAAAATTGCTTCCAAGTAGAATGAATGCTTCTTGACGCGTAAAGCTTTCTGGTTATTGACGATAAGGATTTTGGAGTACATCTGACTGTGAACCAGGCTTTGCCAAGTGCTTGAACGTGTAACTATGTACATCAAAGTGCTGTAGTTCATCTCATTCACCTAAGCTTGGCTACAACTAGGCATTATGGCAGAACTGGAAAAACATGCTATGTTCTCACACTTCTGTTTCCTTTACCTGATATAAGTGTCCCACACAAATATGACGATTTTAGTTGGCGCCTCTTTCTTGATGTTTCGGCTTGAAAAACCATTTTAGTGTTTTGGTGACCAAATATGTAGTGCATTCTCACCACCCTACAAGTATTCTACATAACAGTTCTACACCCCAAATAGACTGCAGAACTCTTTTGCTACCGAAGGAACAGAAATCAATAGGGAATCGGTAAACCACAGCTTACAAACTCGTGAGAGGTATCATTAAAAAAACTCCTGTGACAAAAAGGAACCGTAAGCTAATTCTCTAATGGAAATTCATGTTGCCGCAGTCACAACGGGAAGCATGGCGTCAGATGTTTTGGCGATTATACGTCTGAACAACTACCATGCACATAAATTTTGAATGGACTCTTTCGGTGCAAAAATGCACTCTTTTTTCCCCAAGGGCATCAAATTCATAAACAAGCGTAGTAACACGGTAATAGATTGTAGAGTGTCTTGTATTATTCGCTTTGAATCGTACCGGAGTTGATAAAGTTCACGTATCCTCAAATTTTATTGGTATTCACGGGAGACTCCGAGAAACGATTTGTTTGTGATATTCCCTAGTCCAGCGTCTCGTTTTCATCAACGTAATTCACAAATCGGTACACTTCGCAAACTGCGTATAATTTGTTGTTCAATTAGAACATAAGTTTGACGGAAGATTGTGACCACAACGGGAGCAAAACCAGTCGTGGACTGTGGAAGTATCTTCAGCAACCATACGAGTAGTGTGTGCCATCCAGAAAATACATTGGGAGTAATTTATTTACGGCTGTACTTCAATAGTTATACAACGCTGGTGCACTCTAGCGAATCTTGGGTTTGATCTTGCTACTGAAGGCATTTCAGTAGGTGACCCAACTCTGAAGCTATTTCGTGCAAATGAATATGCTGGCGACGTGTGTGTTTGGTCCTGCAACCGCTTATAACGGTCGTTACATTATCTTGACCACAGGTTTTTAGGCATCTACTCGCGAAGCACATTTTGTCAGTAACGTTGTGTCATCCATCCTGCAGCTCCCTGGATGGGTAGAATCTGAAATTTAAGGGGGAACACAAGAAGACAACCAGTGCGGCACCAAGAGTCCACCTTGATGGAAACATTAGACAAGGCCTGAAAACTCTAAACCTCTTCCAATTTCAGCTGCCAGTGACATCAACGGAAAACTGTTAGACTCCTGCACTTTGGTTTTATCAAGCAGATACTATTTGAACTAAAGAAACAGTCTAGATCAGCAGCAGTTTTTCCAACCAAACGAATGAGATAGCAGTCTACGGCTGTTTCGAACTAATTTCCAACTCATTTCCAAAAACAGGGTTGACAGACTATACTTGTGGCTACCCACTGATGGCTGGGCGACAAATCAAATTAAAAGATTATCTAGGGCGATTTTTGAAGTAAATTATATTTTGGAAATAGTTTCCATGGTCGAATAAATTTGTCGGTTGTACGGTTAGTGTTCGAAACAGGCTACGGTCATATTTGTTTGAACAAAACGTTTAGACCCTTTAGCTGCTGTCCGTTCCTGCGATGATGACGCCCTGACCCTCCTTGACTACAAGTTACATCTGTCAACTGACGTTACTAATATTTGCATTGTCGGCTCCTGCTTCGAGTGCGTGAAAGCTTGGATTGTTTGGCGTATTAAAGTGTGTATGGCATGCTAACTATATGTTCCTTCTCTCTCCACCTTAAACCGATGATTTTGCTTTCACGGCATTAGATTAGTGGGCTTCTGGCTACGATGTCAACGACTTGTGTGAAAAATCTACTGCGTTAATGAAATGTGCAGTTCTCTTTGTGGCTACGTTGGGTGACCCCCGAATGCGGTTATTCTCACCGGAACATGCGACCCGATTCCGCAACTCATTTGATGGTACACCTTGTCTCACTAATCGATCGTCTTATTTTATGGAGATCTCATCACATTTACGTGAATGTATGTGGTTTGAAGGTTAAATTTATGCTGACGCGATTCGGTTCAAATTTGCATGAACAAGGTAGACTGTCTTGATGGTAAAAATACCTGGAATCCCCTATCTGAAAAACGATCATCCCAGACTTTTCGTATAGGGAACTACTCATAAGGTTACTGAAAACTCTTTGACACCCAACGCCCGGTTTTGCTCTTCCTTTATGAAAATATACTGCGATATCTCGAATATCGTACCTAATGAAACGTGAAGCAGTTTTTTGCAGCAAGTTCAGTTGAAAAACACCATGAACGACAGATTCAATTGAGTCTCCCGTGAAAACCAAATTGACTCGGAAATGACTGCATTTTTCGCAATTATCCTACATTGTCTCATTCTTCAGTGCACTTAGCCGCCATGGAGGGTCATCTGCCTGTGCTCCAGTGTCTAATAATCCAACATCCAACACCACTGCTCCTACTGGATACACCAAACGACCTCGGAGAAACACCTGAGTCATTGTCTAAACGATTTCTTAAAGAAGACGTCAGTGGCTTTATTGAAACGGTTAAAAAGGAGCACGGCCTACGTCCGGTTGATGAAGCTCGGTTTTTTGCCACAGCTTTTCCCGCACACAGCGCAGCTTATGATGGTGACCTCACAACATTGCGGACACTAATTGAGGAGGGAGTCATAAAGGTGAATGAGCGCGACGAACAAGGATCTACTCCGCTACATAAAGGTTAGTATCTTCCATTGATTAGGCATGCGTGTCCACTGGACTCAAATAGAAAAAGACTCAAATGGCTTATATCAGAACCAACTGTTGGAAATCTGAATTCAATCTTTAGTTAACCGAGTAAGCATGGACAGAAAAGTATAATTAGTTTTGTACAGGTAATCGCCTTGACCATCATATCTGTAGTCTTTACAATGGATTATTACTTAATTCGAAAGGGAAGAATTGGAATAAGTTGATATGGTAACATTGGAGCTTCAATAACAATTATTTCAGGGTCTCCCTGGTGCAGCATATTCGGTTGCTTAAAAAAACATCATAAACGACAGTTCCGCTGGACAATGGATTATTACTTAATTCGAAAGGGAAGAATTGGAATAAGTTGATATGGTAACATTGGAGCTTCAATAACAATTATTTCAGGGTCTCCCTGGTGCAGCATATTCGGTTGCTTAAAAAAACATCATAAACGAGAGATTCCGCTGGATTCCAGGTGAGTATTCGTCAAAACCCGATCGATATACAGAGGAGCGTATTTCGATAATAAGGACTATATTACTACCAAAAGTTGCTTCCGGCTTTTATCTACATTTGTAACCTTCTCCTGGATTACTGGCGGATGCCCCAATTGTGAAACATACGAATGTCTGTATAATTTTTATAAAAATACTACATTTAAATATGATCAAATACCTCCTGAACAGCTAATTGCATAGCGCTAGTGTGTATCTATATTCACGAACATCAACAAACAAGATTCTTTGGTTTCTTACCTTGCTTACTAATTGACGTCAGATTCCGCGTCCACATCTTGCCCATCTTGAGACATTCCCATCTCTTCAAGTTCCTTGTATTATTCCTGAGACTACCAGCTGCTTCTTCAGTCTTCGTACAAATGTGATTGCCCCAGTCAATAAACAGGGCTGATTGTTTAATTTTGACTTAAATTGTGGGCAAATCACTCTTTTTCTCAGGTGAGGTGGTCATACTAGTTGCGGAGTTGGTTAGTTGCATAAATTAATAGGCTCTTCTGATTAGCTGCTGAACGATCCAACCCTTTTCAACAAGTCTCCGTCCGATGGGTCGAAACAGCAAAACAGCAGTCTTGCTAACTTCGGCTCTATGATATCAGAGAAAAGCAACTAAAATGAGAACATGGATCACTCAATTTTCGTTTGACACTTTACGGACTCCTATTCCGGCACCGGGTGACTAGAATGTCAATAAAGACCAAGCTGCAACCAGAGTCTTCTAGAGAAGAGTTAGATCAGAACTAATCGAAATTAAAATTAAAAAAAACGAAATCCTTTTCAAGGACAAAAACTGAGATATGACCGAAGTATTGGTTTTATGAAAATACTCCCGGACAGCATCACATGCTTGGGCGTTTAATTTTTCTAAATGACATCAACAAACTTTGAACATGGCAAACTACCCGCAGCAACTTGGTCTTATCACTTAAGCTCAAAGTGAGTATTTCCTGTGCGTAACACAATAAAACTACTAGGCAGCGTAACTCTCTCACTTAGTGGAAAATTGGTAAACAAGACACCAATGTCAAGTAAAACAAATTCGAGGGGCTGCTAGGTTGCCAGTAATAGGTAGACGTAATTTGTTGGAGATCTCTTAACCTTCTCCAGAAGCTAGGAGACTGTATCAGAAATAGGTTACATAGTATAGGAAAGACAAAGCCGTTGGGTTCTGCATGAAATCAGAACCACTTGTTCATCCTACCTGAGGAACTGACCACACCTGGATGTTTACAGAACAATGGTATAATTTTGTGGTGATGATCAATTTGGGATATTGACTGCTCAAGACCGTCCCCAAGCCAATCTCTTTCTTCATAATACGTACAGCTGAAATTTTCATTTTATCTGCATTTTTTCTGTATGTTCATTCTGTCGTCAAATTTAACGTCGATCGTTTGTTATAAAAAGTGATGTCTTTTTAAATACTTGCATTGTAGCTGCTGGACAAGGACACGTGAAAATCATACACTGGTTACTGGAAAACGGGGCAGACCCATCAATAACGAATCACCTGGGTGAGCGTCCAGTCGATGTTGCTCGACGTTTTGGACAGTCGGCTGCTATCGAACCTTTGAAGGTGCGAGATCCACATAACATGGTTTCGGAGAAAATACCCGGGTTTTTGGAGGGTGAACCAGAGCCGGAAGTTATACTTGACAAAGAAATTGCCCTTGGTGCGTCTCATTTAGAAGCACATAATTGGTACTGGCCACCGATTGTTAGTGTTATTGGCAAGGCTGACTTTAGTTTCATTGTTTGTTATCTCAGTGAACTGATCTGCTATCGATCCTGGGGTTGCTATCTTGTTCTTTTGTGGTCTCGCAACATTCAAAAACTGCCTTATTCTAAGGGGGTCTATACGGGGTTAAAAACGCCACGTTCCATAAAGACAAGCTGTCGACTTATTTTATGGATGAACATACATGTGGATCCAAGAGTTCACGGAGCGCGGTGATGCGATGACTGTTCTGGGTTAATATGATATAAATTTGTTGGTCGCCCGATGCAGGTGATCATCTCCGATCTTCTCAGCCCTTACACTGTCGGACCATTTCCCAATGGTGTGAATCACATATTGGTATTTACATGTGGTATTATTACAGAGGCAATCTAGATTCGTCATCAGAAACAAAGATGGCGGCATGTATTAGTCAAGCGACTCTAGCCTAATGGTCTCCAACGACCCCTTGTGTGTAATAAAAGGAGTTGGAATGGTCAAGTATGCAAGTATGCATACATAAGCCAGTAGGTTTGAGTAGGCTAAATCTTACAGACTGTTAACATCAAAATTGTGTGTCTGTTAGGGTGAATGGCGAGTTTTGAGTTCTGGCTCCTTAAACGAAAGATACTAGCTGGTCAGCTGTGTCCAGTTCACCGCATTCTGGAGTTATGAAAACCGTATGTACAAGTTCACATTTCCAAAAAGAACCGCTGCGTAGGTTGTGCATCATTCCAAGATAACCACTAATTCCAGTGCATACTGATGCAAGCTCTTCCTCAAGGTTGGCCAAATTCAGTGCAAAACTCCAAAGTGCTTCCGCCAGCCCGTAATTCGGCTACTTAAAACGTCGCAGTTTGTCTCATCAGATGCTCTCCGAGTTAGCTTGAGCCATAAAATATCTATTCGTTTTGTTCAAAACTAAGCAGCCTGGTGATGCAATAGGGATTCTTCGTGCCCCAGTAAGGAAGTTAGGAGAGTTATATTCTCGCTTTTTGTGTGACCTGAGATAGGATTTCAAGACCACCCAAAAGTGTGAAATTTTGGGGCATCCTCCCGCATAACTCCTAAAAGGTGGAGAGGTTGACAAGTTCATACTCTTTGGTATTGTTTTTCCCAAACATAATTGGTAGTGCTTGGAATTTCCAGCCAAGAATGTTAATGTTTAGCATGCAGCTGCTAACATGGCACAGCAACGAGAAGCTTCGTAGTTGGAAATTATCAATATAACTCCTTCCGAAACAGGAGGAACAGGCATTAAGCACTGATGTTCGCCAACTTTCTTCCGGTTGACTATTGTCAGGGCTATGTGAAAAATACGTGCACTGGTGCAGTGGGTAAACAAAATAAATAGGATCTCAATAAATTACGTGATGATGGGAAGGTGAAAAGCTTTGGTGGAAAAGTGATGGCAGCCATTCTTAGTCAGATTGAAGTGGAAGAGGCCTTGCGATTACTTCATACACAAGTAAATTTTAGTTCAACGTAGTATTGTATAGTGTGTTACATTCTAATACATAGGTCTTGCATTGTCATTGTGAGTAGTATTCCTTGATTAAATCAATGACTTTTCCAATAGAGGGGTTCTCTGATGGTTCAGTGGAGCCTAAATCCACATACTTCTGGTTCATAGAATAGGTCTTTCCTGCTTTATCAGTTAGGGTTCCTGTCAATTTAAGGAGAAAAGGAAACAAATATGCTAAATAAATTTTAAAATCAGAATTAGACCTGGTTTAATATCGCAAGTAGAGTGACTGTATTCAACTACTATATCTAGGGACTGTTCTGACCTCAACAAGCCGAAGTAGGAAATCATTGTTTTTCAGGTTAAATAGCATTCCATTATGACCAGTGACGCTCAGGCCAATTCTCATGGGTCAAAAACAATACCTTTTAAGAAAAATGTCATTTGTGGAGAAGTTTTGGGGTAAGATATCTTCATCAAATAGCGTATAGTAAAATGAACATTAATAAATTCGAGCTAAATTATTTAATGCATCCGTACTGGCTGCGTCGGTACCTAAGGTAAAAATCCAATAAATTGATGGGGTCTTTTGTTAAACTAATTCCCGCAGTTTAGAAATAGTGTAAACAATGAAAAGTGGTACTCACATTTAACAATATCTGGTCTCATCGGCAGTTTTTCCTTCCTCAGAACGTGCTAGGAAAAGAATCGATAAATTCCAAAAGCTCTTAGATCTGGCAAAATCTGACTATAAGCAACTTGGAGGTGAACCAGATCCGGAAGAACTTCATATTCAATGTGAAATTCGGGAAAACGAAAAGTAAGTATTCTGATTTTCAGACATGCTTGGCTGCGTGAGGGTTGTTAATATGTTTTGTGGACAGTGAGGTCCTACGCTTTATATTTTGATTATTCTTTATCGATTTGGCCATCGTTCGAAGTATACCATGATAATAAAACTTGGGTTGTTTTGGATTCTTAAAAGTATTCTTGTTCATGTGACTACATTGTACCGATTGGGCCACAGTTGAACCCTTAAAGAGTCTATCATGGTAAGCAATCAGTAATAACCAAACATAGGCAATAAATAACAGAAGGCCTCGGAGGATCCGCTGCAATGTACTTTGTTCTATATAGTAATATAATACATGTTTCTTCCAGGACGTGATTACGCAACGGTTGATCAAGTAGCGTTCTTAGTTAAGGTTGTCCTTCAGTGCGAAATAGATATCGCTCTAAATACAAAACCGAGATACACCACTCTTAAATTACAGAATCCCCCAGACAAAAAACGATGGTCCTATGTAGTAGTGAGAGGGCGGTGGTCTGTTTTTGAACTTATCAGGATGTAACAGGCCGGTTTTTTCGGCTTTTTCGTTACCTCTAACTTCAGAAAGCAAATGAATGTAAAAATCAGGCTGGTCGAACCCTGGAAAAGCAGTAGCCTCCATCAGTATAAAATCGGTACACAAGAACTGTCTTAAAAAATATTTTCCCTGTGTAAAAAAAGTTTTGGGTAAAATAATTTTCCCGCGTTTATCTAATTAGATAATCAGTTGCTTTAAAAAGAACATTGCTCATTTCCATGCAAAGATTCTTTATGTGGGTCTCCACTTGAGATCGTTACTTTTCACTTTTTGACAGAGTGCTTCACAATCAGCTATCTTGATCCTAGAATTTGTTGAAACAGGGGAAAGGTCTATGGTACTGGCCCGGCTAAAAGCCGACATAAATAGGCTGACTTTGGTAATGCATTTCATTAATGGTGTAAGGAAGTTCTGAAACTTCCAGTGGATTTTTTATCCTAAAAGTAGATCCAACTTATACTTAAAAAAGCATTATACAGCTGTTTCATCTTTATTGGGAACCACCAGTAGTGTGCATCCTAGAATCTTCGAAAAAGCCGACATAAATAGGCTGACTTTGGTAATGCATTTCATTAATGGTGTAAGGAAGTTCTGAAACTTCCAGTGGATTTTTTATCCTAAAAGTAGATCCAACTTATACTTAAAAAAGCATTATACAGCTGTTTCATCTTTATTGGGAACCACCAGTAGTGTGCATCCTACGAATCTTCGAAAATTTTCAAACCACAGCCTCAGTTCATTTATAAGATCAAATCGCTATGAAACTAAAATAATCTCCACAGGCTATCAAAAAACTCCAGGTAGCTCAGAATTAAAACTGTTTCATACAACGAGTGAATATTTCCTGTTATAAGTCACCGCTTGGAGAGCCAGTCAACGAGCTCCTACGAGATCTAAGTCTCGTGATTATTGAATGAGTGACGCTCTACACTGTCTAAATTCGTGTTAATCACACTAATGCTCAGCCGCCTGTGGTAGAACGTCAACACTGGTTCGAAGCTTTTTTGAGTTGAGATGTGCAATGCTAATGATTCTCAAAAAGGATTAAGCGGCTCTACAGTGCTTCATGGCTTTTCAGCGTAGAACGGCTTCACTTACGGGATGAAATCCCCATTGATGGGTACAGTTTGGTTTCAACGTTTCATCCGACGAAGCCGTTAGAAAGTAGTAAGATAAAAAATTACACTTTTCACTGCAAAAGACACATAGGCTCTTCAACTCCGGTGTGCATGTAAAACTGGTGTTCATGTTTGTATGGCGATTTGCAAATGTATTCTCTCGTTACCTTCAATTGTACAGTCTCTGAGGTCCCTATAATGCCGTAAGTTTATACTTCCAAGTGAAAGCCTTTGAAACATCTTGACATATGTCAAATTTTTCTTCCCAACCACAATTACCATACGCTTGCTGGTCGTGCCGTCTACCTGCAAATTATTATATAACTATAGATATCTAGATACTGAACCGATTCCGGCCAAAGCAATATATGGCAACTTGCGTCAACAAGTGTTAGAGTCATGCCGGAGAACTGAGTCACCGATTATTGCGTGAATATTGAAGATAGTTAATCGATAGTCATGCAAATTTAAGCAAACCAATCAAAATGAAAGTTAGTTTTTCAACTCGAGGCCTTGTATAGGAACGGTCAAAGTGCACTGAAAGCATTGGAACTCCCTCCATTCATTTGAGCACTTCTGGTCAAGATATCTAGTTATCAGAACTCAGATCACGTGACTGCTCGGAAAATTGGTGAGTAATGTTTTCAAGCTTAACAACACAGCAAGATATATTTTACTCGACATCGCACTTGTAAATGTAATGCTAGCACATTACGGCAGATTTTGACCGAGTGGCATGACGCGAAATCAGATCTTTCTAGTTTCGGTTGGGACGAATGCCATGCTTCAAGTCCTGTAGGCTGAAAGTCAAAGCTATCAAGTTTGTTCAGGTCAGAAATAGTCCTTGGTAAAAAAGCGAATTAAACCAGATGTACGTTCAAATCTCCTTTGAGACGCGGAACTTGCCAGCATAATATAATAATATCTTTAAGCGGAAAAAGAATGAAAAGCACCGTAGAGTGCATTGCAGCCCAAATCACCCATAAAAAGACTGGAACCAAAAGAAAAGGGTTCACATCCATTCGACATCAATTCATAATTGTGATATAGACTGGTAGCTCATGGAACCCCTTTGAAAATGTGAAATATCGTCAGAATTTTGTAGGAATTTGTTGTTCCCTGAAGGCAGTAGTTTCTACACACCAGATTCGGGTAATGCTCCGAAGACATCGATGGTCAAACACTGAAAGTCTTTTGACGTCCTCGGCGCGCAGCGGCCAGGTTTCTGATCCATATAGTAATATGGAGCGCACCGCAGCATTGTAAACTCGACCCTTGACAGAGAAGTTGATGTCACGCCTACGCCACAGGTGACGTAAGTTTGCAAAAACTGCTCTGACCTTCCCAATCCGGATAAAAGTTTCAACTTTCGCCAGACCACCGGAACTGATACAGCTGCCCAGGTGAACAAATTAGTCTACTACCTCAATCGGTTCATCCGCAAGCATGAGGTTAGGTTTTCAGCCAACCTGTTAACAACTCACCACGGCAGCTATATCCAGTGAGTAGAAAAGTCACTTCGTACGCATTGGGGTCCCGTAACTCACTCACTTATTCACTCTCAAAGTTAATCGTGAAGCTTACGAAAGGAGTTTGCATTGACATCTGTTCTACGTTGTTGTTAAAAACATGTTTAATTTTAACCGGGCTATTAGATAAAAGAATCATCACAATTCAGTGGAACAGTCTGACAACAAAATTGTTTTAAGGAGCATGAAAACATCTTATTTTAGTTCGTAAGGATGAGCAATTTTTAGTCAAATTTCACTTTTCAGTATACTACCTCAAATGGCCTTCCCAAAAAACCTGTTCTAGCCAAATCAATTGGCTCTTTGAGTCATCTGAGCGCAGCCGAAAACCGTTTGTGACGTTATGCTTGCGAATTACGTCGGTATCATTCAGATGATAAAGCGATATTCCTATGATTGTAGAACTAGTACAAGCATTTCTCACTTATTTCCATCCAATAACAACCACGTGTTGGTGTTACGAGCTTTAAGAATTTTAGTCACTAGCCAATAAAATTCGTCCACTTTGTGATCACAGTTCGCATCTTCTAAATTACAGGCAAGTGAAACACCTCATTATTTCGGTTTTTCTCTTTCTTTTGACTCAGCAAGCTCCAAACGTAAGTCGTGGAATATTTTGTAATAAATCATATTTGAAGTTCACCACACTGGGCACATATTTCTGGCCACTTTATTCGGAATGAAGGCACAAACCTTTTGTCAGCATTGTCAGCTGTATACTTTAGGGTATAAGCGCACGAGTTTGTAAGCATTGGTACAGCCAAAATCTTCACTTCCCTATTACACTTTGCGGTGCTCTCCTGTTTCCCAGAGACTATAAAACTTGCTTTCAAACATGTGGGTAGTAACAAAAAATTACATTAGCTTATTGTGTAAGACTTAGAGCAGTTTGAGTTTGCCAGAGCTGTAGACTTTTAAGGCATCTGACATGTTTCTAGTTTAAACCTCAATCACGTTGGGTCGTGAAACTGTTCATGTAACATCCTTTTCATGAGATTTGATAACTGGTCGTTATTTGGTGACTTTTCTCGGGCAACAGAGGTTTTTGCAATGAATCAGTCTGCATTCTCTATTGCCGGGTTGTAGTTAGGTTGTTTGTCCCAGCTTCCTCAGGTTCACATGTCAAAACAAACTGACCTTAAAGATGCTTTTCCAAGGTGTATAGGTGTATCTTAATTGGATGAAACGGAATCTGTAAATGAAGCGTCATTTAGAACACTTACGGGTAAAATTGACTGGTTTTGAGAAGTATGGTCGTTACTACCAACTTGTTGGGTGATATCATCATCATCATTGTCAGCTGTAATAACCGCGTACTCGTCGTACAGTGGTTGTAGCTGCCGCTGACAGTGTTGTTTTTTGGGGGGGGGGGGGTAGGTAGCTGCGCATTGCAAACGGGAGCTGATAAATTGGTGCATAAATCCAGCATTATCAGTGGGCTGTCAAGTGGGGTTGGGGTTGGAAAAGGAGCTCTGCATTGAAGGCAATAGCTTTGATGCACGAGCGCCATCGAAGGTGCGACTGGGCCATGTCTGACAATGTCTCTAGCCGTTGATGTGGCCCGTCTCGGGGTTCCCATCCAGAAAGACGGCAGTGACTAGCGCAGCTGAGTTTGCTGGTAATGGCTTTCATACGCTGACTTTTAAACTCTAAGGTGAAGATCGGTGGAACATTTTGTCAAAGTTGCATTTCCGAAAGTTGTATTCCATTCGTATGAATTTTATCTAAACCTGATAATTTAATAAACAGTAAACTGTCCATTGTGTAGTAATCGTGAATAAGTAGGAAAGCGTTTTCTACACGATTTGCACTTGAAAGATCAGAGGACATAAATTATTTAACCGAATAATCACATTGCTCTTCTCATTGTAGCAACGAGCCAGTGAACTCATTAGCAAGCGGGTAACTGATTATTTAGGGTACAATTTTTCTCAATATAGGTTATTTATGCCTAGTTGAGCCAAAAATCGGGTCTATTTGAAGTTTCTGGTTAGTGTCACATCATTGTAAACCAAAGCACTTACCTATCAAAATTACTTTGCACCCACCTTCCAAGAATTTCCTACCGGTTTCTTAATCTCCTTCGTGTTAAGATGTGTTGGTATGTGTCATTATGGTTCTTTATTATTTGAAAATATTTTCCAGATTGCTAAGTGATTCTGTAAGCTTTTCATCCAAACGCTTGACATAAAAAATTTAAGCATCACCTTTTTCATAGAAAGTACTTACAAAGTTGCTGAAAACACTTCGACAGCCCACGACAGGTATTACCTCGATTGGGGCTTATCAGGTAGGCACAAGCCTCTAGCTTCTGTCAAACTTATGTCCTGCTTGAACCTATATTGAGAGAATGTAGACAAATACACTCAGTCGCATATCAACTGGGTTTCCAATTCAACTGAATGTGCTGCCAAAAGCACGACAGGCGACCTTTACGCATATTAACCTGAATAATATGGTGGACGAGAGTATCAGTTGAGTCTCACGGGAAAACCAGCTGACATGGAAATAAGTGTATTTGTCAAGCATCGCCCGTTTCGTGCCATGTAATGTCCACGGTTCTTTGAAGGCACGTAGCAATTAGAAATATGTTACTATATTTTCATTACAACTATCTAAGTCATTTGTTCAGGTACTACATCACCAGCCAAATACTGTGCCATTTCGTTTATAGGGACGTAGAAGACGCTAGGATAGCCAAAAATTCAAAACTTTCCCAATAATTTCAGTCAGCACAGCACATAAGAATTTAACAGAGTATAAGGCTCTTTATTTTGTCCCATTTGTTTGTATTGGAATAGCGAACTGGAATCATGCAAAGTTGAGCTGGAATACGAACGTCTGAGGCGTGAAAAATTGGAAGCGCTTCTCGACGAATCCAGAAGGGAAGTAAACAAACTGAATGCTGAGCTCAGTGCATACTCTTTAGAACAAAAACCAACCGAGGTATGTTGTTGTCCCTCTGTATTCAATGCAGTCAATAGATGAGGGATTTATCACGTAAAATATATTAAACTGATCGTTTACATCACGTGGCTATGCTGGCTAACTCGATGAATAAGTCCCAGGTGGGAAATACAATAAATGCATGTTCCCGATATCTACGTTCATGGACGATCTGATAGCAATACGAATTTTGACAATTTATTCGAACTGTCGGCGCTAATGGAATAGTCTCCTTAAGTTAAGATATTCAGCCTACATTCTGTTCTGGGAATAGATGGGAAACGTGCGGTATACTTGGGCCTTTTCGCCTAGTTGAACCAGTTACCACACATGCAGTAAAATCAAATACTATCACTCTTCAGTCAACTACTTTGTGTATAACTTGGTCAAATGTTTCAGATTCACGTAAACTAGTCTTGACCAGTCTCACCCTAGCACGGCCTTTTTAGCCTCCAAAAAGTTCAGTCTAGTGTGAGCTTCAAAATTGCAGAAGGACTGGTGCCACAGAACAATCATCAGTTGTTAAATGTTATTTTTCAAAGGTACATAAAAAAACTAAAAATTCTAGGCCTATTACCGGCTGGATGTAGTAAGGTAACCCACTCAATCAATATAGCCGGTACTGTAAATCAAATGCGACCGTGTTCCGTAATAATCACAGACAAATTATCTGCTCAAATTTAATCCGCTTGGCTCTATTTATTTTGATGTAATGATGTTCGTTTCTTTGTCAACAACGTAGATCCTAGGGTAATCACTCATGCTTTTCCTCATGATGACCTCACCAAGACTGACATGATTCGGATGGACGGCATGCTCCTAGTAATAAGCACACAGTGACAATCCGTCACAAAAGAATACACCTGAAACGACAAAAGTCAAGAATGAAGACTTTTCTTAACTGCTTATTAATTAGACTGTCAGAGAGCTTCCGTTGAAGCGATCTGTGGAAAGCATGCGGTGGAATATGGAGGAACAATAGAAGTTATTTCGGAACACTGCCTATAGACAGTTGAAGCAGAGCATTAAACGCGTTGTTCTGTTTCATTGGAGCACAAGTTACACTCTTATGTTGTGTTGTTTCACAAACAGTAAGGGAGAATTTCAGTTCACGATAAGGCGCTAATTGGTCCGTTCATTGCAAACTTTATCAGGCATTCGGAGCCAAACATGGATTCAAACCCACGCAGCCTGGTTGGTTCATTCAGGTCATTACAGTATCAACAAAACGACGTGGTTGTGAAGGTTTTGGGTAAAATTCCTGAGCAGGTTTTCATCTTCAAGATTGCCTTGCGATGTATTTAATAAAGGACGATGTTTTTCAGTTCACCACAGGTGTAAAGTCCTACAGATCGATAGAAATGACTTACTTTGCATCTTTAATGCCTGTTCGGTAAAAGCGCGATATTTCAATAAAACTTGCATATTTGTTTAGCTTCTTTACAATACAGTTTATCATTGACTAACCAACTACATTAGGCATCTTGACATGCCAGAATGTACAAAGCTTAAATATGCTCTTTTCCTACCAAAGGTTTGCTCTTCGTGTGAAGACTTGTGTTCCAACCGTCAGTAATACATAGTTCCAGTACCTCCAGAGATACATTAGTTTGTGTCCAAACCAGTATTGCCTGCTTTAAGGCAAACCATGTGTGATGGGTCGCCCTAAGTACTTCGGTAGCGGGAATGATGGGAGTGAACAAAACGGGTCTTGGTCATAACTTTTTTCAAATACAAAATATACTGAATGTGCGCTTCCCAGGTTATTTATAATAGAACTCCTCCATAAAAAACAGCAGAGATTCAGCTTCAACCGGGTGGGGTGTTTGTTAGATATGATACCATATAAAATACCATAGTAAAATAAGTATGGTACCCATTTGGTATCCAATATGTGCCTATCTGATTTCTGTTCCACATGGTCTTATGCTCACATTTAAAAAATGTGACAATATGCTGATGGCAGTTTTATAATTTTGCAGATCGGATCTGCCAAGGAGTTGGATAAAAGGAAACAGAAAGCGAAGGGCCAAACACGTGTCAAACGTCGCAGTGTTTCCTCTGAGTCCAGTTTTCGCAATTCCGATCAGAATATCTTGCGAGCCAAACGGGTAAACTAATATTCCGAGAGTTCGGGAAAGCCTTTATTCCACTCTCAGTGGCTCCGTGCACACTAGCTTGGTCTGTATTTTGCAAAACCCTGAGTTTTCTACCCAGTGAATTTTTTCAACTAATTGTGTGTTCTCTTGTGCCTATTTGATAATACTCATACGGAGAAAGCCGAAAGTGAGCTACTTACGATAGTGAAGCCATCTTTTGGTAATAATTATAGTACGCAAAAAGTTTTATTTCATATTCTCGCAGAGGAATCTCGTGGTTACTACCTTGCTCCGCGCCTTGCAGAACAGTTATTATCATCACTAACGGCGAATACTGGTACTTAATTGTCAAGAGAAGGAATGACTTAGAAAATGGTGGGACGAAAGTGGAACGATAAGGGTCTCATTAAAAACATCCGTATGTCCCTAACTGAAGCGGTCAAGGACAAGTTGGTACACTTTCGTACAGCGAGGAGATAAACGCATCTGAGCACCATACAAAAGTCTGATGCTATTTGCGGGGTCGGTCCAGCGTTCCGAACGAGCGTCAGTCGACATGAATCCACAACACAGCAAAGAAAAATATTCAGCTAGACAGTTCTATAAGCAAGTGACAGAATGGTCATCCCAATTACCGGTTACTTGCCATGTCATGTCTGCTTCCTAACCGCGTGCACGGAAAATCATACAAACCCAAAGCAGAAAGGCGCGAAGATCCAACAGCACTCAATTTGACAGTAACCACATTCACTCTGTGTTGTTATGTCATGGCTTGTCTCCAATGAGCCATTCACCAAAAGAAGTTCGAAGATGAAAACACAACTGTCTTTGGTGGGTGCTTGGTAAGTAGTATCTGATCCAACTGATTTGAGCTATTCTAGTGATTCTGAGTGCCCGCTTATGCAGCACTTTTGTGCGAATATGCTGCGGCCAGCTAACGCTGGTTTTTATGTGGAGGCATGAATGATCAGATGTCTGGGTCGTTGGATCTGATGGGCCTATTTTCGGAACCACGGCTTATGACTGCCTTTCCAAATATCTTGTAAACACGGCTCTTCATCCCCAGTGCAATTTGTTTCTGACACCACAACTGCTGCAAGTTTGGGCATGTTTCTCTTGCCCTCACAATGTGTGCATTGGCTTTATCTATCACGGTAAAGTCATGGCTTGTGCAGCTCCAAATGTCCACCAAGCGATCAGCAAACTCGGATTTCTCTCCTCGAAGCTTCGGAAGGACACAAGAGGATTCGAGATCATGAAGCAATACTTTTTCAGTTTTCTGGGGGTATAGCATACACTGAACTATCGATCACGCCCGAGATTCAACCTACAAAGGACTCTGTGGACAGCCAACCGTCTGCATGGTTCAAGCCTTCCCCTAGATAGTATTTTTTACATCAGAGCCTTGATCCTTAAGACTATGCACCCCATATCGGCAACAAAAGTTAACAGCAAAGGAGAGAAACCGCACATTTGTCGGACTCTAGCAGTTGAAGCAATACGCCTTGACAGTTCTTTGGAGATTCTCAGGTGATCAAAAGTTAAGGAATACAGAACACGAATCGTATTTACAATTTACCGGGGCACTATTTCACGGCTACACTAGGTAGGCATTGCGCTGTTTAAGCATTTAAATCAATGTAAAGATGTGGTCGATGCACCTGTATACAAAGGTGACACCTCACCTGCTTCTCACGGATTTGTGTCTCACCTGCCGGTGTGATCAAAAACGGTGGCCATGTTATTGCAGACAACAGACCTATATTTTCCTTGCTGGGTAGTCGCCTTATGTACATTATTTATGAAGGTATGTTAATCTATCGGTTCCAGCTTTCTGAAATGTTTCTTGCTCCGTAACGATTTCCAACAATCTATTTAACGCAGAACACAAATATGCACCACGGTATTGAATAACGTAGGTGTAAGATTAGATCAGATGTCATTTCAAGACAGAAAGACATGATAGTATGTGAGCAACTAAGGCAGGAATTAAACTCACACTACGGTTCGAGCTTACTGGGTAGATTTGAAGGATATAGGTATAAGGGTCAGCATCCTGCAAAACTCCTGTTAAAATTATCCTGCCACGTGATCTAGACGCTTCCTTTAATGATACACTCCGTCTCGAAATATTATTTTTGATTAGCTTACTAACAGAGGATTTCCGTGATAGCTCGACTTAGTAGAGCTTAACTGCATTCTGGCTTCAATAATCCCTATCATTATTTGAATTTTTTCGTTCTATCACGCCCACCTATTTGCACTTGGCTTGGGTTGACTTCCAACATATAGTCTAGACGAATTTTGCTGCAGTCCCAAAGAAGTGACCACTATGAGTTGTAGAGCTTAGTATGTGCACTCTCGGAAACAACATATGCCAAATTTCTGGCATGTGCCAACCAAATCTCTTCCCGCTTGAGATCAGGAGACTTATCCGCATACTGAAGTCCCCTGCGACTATAGCTGAACTTTTCATAATGAATGCCTGAAATGGTGGTCTTTGATACAAAGTGCGTTCCAGAGAATCAGTAGAATAATCTTTCTACGAGAGGAGACAACGAACGAAAAGCAGGCTTTCATTTAAATCGTTACCACTCTTTACGAAAATAATCAGACTCACAGTACAAAAAAGACCTTTCACAGATATGCAATCAATCCAAAAAAACTCAGCTTCAACAGCATCAGAATTACCTGGAAATCACAGACGATAATCTACAGACGGTAAGCAAACATAACTCTAATTAACTATTCCATTTTCTGGAATCTAGCAAACGCTAAAGTATCAAGAGTGTGCGCACAAGTTGACTGTTGACAGTTCGCCCAAGTGTTCGGAGATTAAAGACTGCGAAAATGTGGAAGCGGCCTCTGATTAATGAAAATAGAGGCACATGGAAACGGTTATGTGTACTCAAGGTCTCTCCGCCTTCGGGTATCTGACCGGTGGCCTTATAGCGGGACTCTACAGTGTGGAGAAGGATAGGAACTAACGGAAGGCATCGATGTTAGCAATTTTCATTTATATACCATGTTGTATGCAGCAAATAAGGCAACACAAGGCGGAAATGGATGCTTTATGTGGGTTGAAGTACAGACATGACACTCAAACCCAGATGAGAATACCATTAAGGTCCTTGGCCCCAGAACTTGACCACAAGGTACCGGAAGGTGAAGAAACCTAACTTTTTAACGTTTTAAGCAGAAGGTTGGCACGCTGGTTCCAACCTAGCAGGCCAGGAAGCTGATTATCAAACATCCATCCACTAACCAACCCAGCAATATTCTGCGAAATTCGCATAAGCATACTCCAGTATTGCTCACTAGAGAGCTGATATGCGCAAACATTCACAGCACAATAAGGTCCACTTCCTTCGCGAGGGAATTGCAACAATGTGGGAATAAACATGAAAGGCTGCTGTGTGGCTACTGTGGAGGGCAACATGTTTCTGGAGAGGCTTGGGTCAAATAGTCGGGTGCTGTTTTGAGATTAGGCTCCTAAAACGAGGGGCTGAAAATGTCATTTGAAGTGGTCCTGAGCACTTTAGACGACGGGGCATAGCTATTCTATATGAAGCAGTAACAGAAAGCGCAATATATGAATGCGGACTCACTGTGTCATGGCAAGCGAATGGTGGCTTATTCATCAGGGTCCCGGTAGGGTAAAAAAAATGCCAGAAAAATTCATTTTAATGGAGAATTGAGGCGCTTTAGCCTAGTGTTGAGCTTTGTTTTAACAGGAGGTTGCGCTTGTGTGTGAGCAGCAGTTAACTGACATGAATAAAGAAAAGGGTACGGAGGAGAGCTATTGACGGTGAGTTGGAATGAAGCCTGGAATTAGTTCAAGTTTGGCGGGGTGAAGATTTGAGTGTTGGGCAGAAAGGAAGTAAAAGCTCTCAGATACCAAGGGTTATCGGGAGCTTGCATGGGAATAGGGATAGAAGTGAAGAGAGCACATGTAGACATATCTGTGTATACTTAAGCCGACCGTTCCAAATGTTCCAACTAGACAATGAATCCTGCCTGAACAGCCGCACGTTTTAGGGTAACACTGGTGGTGTTAGTGGAAGTGAGAGAGGCTACAGCCAGATGACTATGGTGTGCGGTTATGGATTGCACATGAAACTCATGAACAAATGCTAGTGAAGAGCAGTCGAGCAAACGATTCTCACTTGGATTTCAAGAGTATCGGAATCTTAGAAGAAAGATAAGAATATGAATGAGGGGATTTACGATTATTCAACCTCTCCAAACTACCATGTTTAGCTTGAGCTGCCTAGAAAGGAACCAGTGGTTTCACTGTACAATGGGAGAAATTATTTTAAGCATCTTTTATCCATGGCCGAATATGCTCAACCTCCTAACCAAAAATCCAAATTTATAAATGTGTAATTTCATAGCGCCCGAGCTTCTGTAGATTAGCCATGCCCGTTAAAAACACCAGCTTGTGGAACACACTATAAGCGTCATCACTGTCACAGCTTTTACCGGGTCGCAACTGATCCATCTATGAATCAAACGATGTCGGTACCGACTAGTAGCATCTCAAGCAGTGGTTTCTCTTCTTATTTCCTGTCCAACCCACAGTGAGTACCAGTAGGTTGAAAGATTCAAGATTATCTCAGTTATATTATGCTTCGCTGACAGTTGTCAAATAGTTGTGCACGATTGCCGATGATAAATGACGGTCGTCTTCTTTACCCCCGGTCAGTCATTTGAAACTGTGATTATTGAGGTGTACCTTTCCCGTCCGGTCGTATTGCTCGTCAGCTTCCTGTGTTAGGTTGTTTTAACAGGCTGTAATGATATAATTGCACAAGCGTTGAGAGTGCATAGCGGAGTTCAGTGGTCAATAAGATGAAACGAGGAGCGTCGAGATGTAATGAAACGACATGTTAGCTTTCTTGGGCTCGGTCTTCAACGTTTATCATAAGCTGTAGTGCTTCGCTGAAGACTTTCTTCAGAAAACTGATGAAGAATACTGGAGTTCGGTACCATCGTAGGGCACGCAGCTCACCTTAAACTCCTCCCCTTTAGGGGTCGAGGTCTGGAGATGAATATACTTTGAAACCTCCATTGAGCGTGGTTCCCCAAATTAATGGTAATTTATTACCTTCTTAAATCACCAGGGAAAAATCTCCGTAAGAAAGACGACTTCCTGACATCTACCTATGATAAGTACTTAGTAAACCACCTGACGAAAGAATAAAATGCACCGCAAATTTTTTAAAACCCCATCAATTCAGAAACATCTGAATTTTTTCAATTTTCTAGCTGTCCCTAACGAACTCCAGTTATATTTTGTTGCATTTAATTAATAACTCAGGTTAGGACCTTTATGTATTTTATATGCAGCGCTGTCATTTGTGAAAATGCAAAATTGTCTAGAATTTTGAGCGGCTTCCGTTTGGCTTTTGGTTTTGGGTTTGTCAGTTCCGAGGTAAGATTCTTTGCTCAGATTGGTTTCTGGAATACAAACAGGAAGCCTTCGAGTTCAGATGTGATACACTCTCTTTGATGCGCATAGAGTGATGTCCCAGGTAGATGAAATTTACAACGTTTGAGCTCGTCCCAATGCGAACATGCCTGTTGTGAGGCCGGAGGTTGTACACAAGGAAAAATGACCACGTGTTAATTCAGGTTCGAAGGATTTGCGATCGCTCGACTACTAATCACATACTCATTCTCGGCAAGGACAGTGGCTAAGGGCAAATCCATTGGGTTCGATGTGGCTTCGAAAATTCGTTGTATCGAGGAGCGAAAAATCGCTGCAAATTAAAAGCAGCCCTCGAAAGCCTGAAGACAGGAGGCAGACTAATGTGCCTCGGAGGCCTCTGTGGAACTTTGGACTTAAACCCGACGTACAACTATTGAGTCTCCTAACATCTCTGGTTACAAAATTTCGGCTCCTCAATCTCGGAGGCGACGAAGGCAGTGTTGAGACACTTGTCCACAAATTGCCTCATCCACTTTAACAAAGCTTGCAATATTAAGGAGACTGTTCGCCTTGAACAGCCGTTCATAGTGACCATCACAGAGACCTGGCTAACACCGGATGCACCTGACGTGAAGATCTCGATAGACGACTTCTCTTTTGTTCGAGCTGACTCAAAATGAGGTAGGGCTGGTGGGATTGCTTGCACTTGCATGCAGCCATGCCCATTGCGATTGTCCTCTCTACTACTACTCGTGCACCTTTTTGCGATGCCCTGTAGATCCAAATCCCGCTGCGCGTGTCCGATTCTCTCCTTCTCGGCGTGGTCCACCGTAGCCCCACGAGTCCCTCCCTGAAGATGACCAATTCCTCATACGAACCCTTGAGCAACTCTCCTCCGGGTACAACCTCGTTCATCTGCTAGTTGGCGAATTCAACGCTCCAAAGGCCTCCCGGATTGAGCTGCAGCGCGTCGGATCAAGTTGTCTCTTTACAGCGGCGCTGATGGAAGTAGTTCAGCAGATCGGTTGGACTCAAAATGTCGTTGCACCCACTACATATCGCGCAGGTCAATTATCATCTCTTCTGTATTTAGTCATCATCGACGAAGGACAATCCGTTCATCAAGTGATAATTAACGACGCTCCACTGGGGCACTGCGACCACTCTGTGCTGACCTTCGATTTCATCTGCTACTGAGCCGGAAATCCAGAAACTCAAGCGTGGCTTCGTACCTTCCGTCGTGTGGACATTTCGGGAACGCACATCTTTCTTGAACAAGTTAAATTGGGACCAGCTTTAGTGGTAGACATATACAGGACCATTGTCCAGATCTTGCAGCCGGCCGACGCGATTTTTTCTCAGAAAAACCAATACGCAGCTGGATGGGCCTCAAGCTACCATTCGGTGTCTTCTGGAAAAGAGGTCTCAAGTTTTGTTAAAAAGTCGACACTGAAAATGAGCTGGCATTTAATAAAATGCAGAACCGCCGTAAATCAGAGATCCGCCAATGGAGCATACAAAACAGACCACCATTTAGGACCTGGCCAGGAAAAACAGAAATGTACTGTTCAAATAAATCGCCGCAGAAACAAGCCATCCGCGTTCCCCTTGAGTGACAGGAATGGGGGATCTACTAGTGACCCAACAGTGATATCTGAGGTCTACAGAGAGCACTATCTAGGTCTGTATTAAGCTGTAGCCTCTTCGCCACATTTAGTCTTGTCAGGGCGTAACCACGAACAGTCCTCTAACCGACTTGGCCTTCACGGTGGGAGAGGTCCGAAGAGGTCCATCCAAGGTTCCTGAAGGAAACGCCGTTCACACTGACAAATTATTCAAACTTGGGGCTTCGCCAGTCACCTAAAGAAGGTCGCCTTCCCTCTGCTTGGAATGAAGCGATTGTCACACCAATCCACTAAACTGGTGCCTGACTATCGCCTGGGAGTTACGGGCCTATAAACATTACTGGCGTACCGTGCTTGATGATGGAACGCATTCTGAATTGAGCTATCCTAGATCGCCTTACTATCAAGAAATTGATATCTCCAGCTCAACACGGATTTCCCACAAACCGTTCTTGCGCAAAAACACGCTCTTTTTTATGGGAAGCTCAACCGAATCCACGGAGGAGGGACTCATATCGGATGCCATATTTTTCGACATCTCAAAAGCCTTTGATCTGGTCCCACACCTCCCGCTGCTTCAAAAACGCGAATCTTACGAAATTCAAGGGGAAATCCTACGCTGGATCAAGGCGTTCCTATCAGACAAATTATTCCGAGTGAGAATAGACTCGGGCTACTCTTCTCCAGCGCCGATCTCCATTGAGGTTCTTCAAGGCTCCGTTTTGGGATCACTGCTGTTTCTGGAATGCGTCAACGACTTTCCCTATGTTCGTGCGGACGACTCGAAATCCTGGAGTTCCTATGCCGGTGCCCTCCAAATGGATGTAGACGCTGCCAAGCAGTGGTCGTTGGACTGGCACCTTCCTCTGAACGATGAAAAGTGCGTCCATGTGTCGTTTGGAGGTGATTCAACGAATGCCTTTGTTATGCATGGTGAAAAGGGACCAGAAAACATTATGAGGGTAGATGCCAAAAGGATTTTGGCATCAAGGTCTCCGCAAACTCGTCCTTCTCACTGCACCATGAGAAGTCGGCCCGAAAGTTTTGCACCCTTGACCCAGCAAACACGGCGGGGACATGATAAGAATATTTTCAAGGTCTTAGCGCACTTTTCAATTCGGCGAAATTCCTTCCATTTCGGGTAGTAGCTGCGTGGAATGACCTACCACCATACTCCAGAGCCCAGCTCAAAGCACTATTTGACACTCACACTGGCAAGCACACCGCCCCTCGCCGGGGAGTTTAAACGCAGTGCTGCACACTTTTTTCACCTACGCCTTTCAGGTGAACGACAGCCGCTGAACGACAAGCGCAAAACTGACCCGGGAATCTTGGGGGAATCCTCGGTCTCGTGTATAAATCCACGAACCCGTTAGTTTACGCAATTTTAGGTGGTACTCTTGGAGGCACGACGCCCTTCTGTGTAAAACATTCAAGAGTGAAATACAAAATTTTGCACCAAAATGTTTCAAGTTCCGTTTATTGAAAAGGGGTTCACCTTTCTCCGCATTTACGATATCTTTTTGTATTAGGCAGCGTATTCACATTCAGTGGTGTCTAATGGCTTTGAAGTTTCGCTCATTCAAATGAATCGTCCATGTAGATAATTTTCAGAATAGGCTATTATACGTATACATTCTCCTCCATAATATGGCAACCTTAGAAACGTTGTAGCTTTCCAGAAATCAATCCAAAGAGCGAATATTGAGAGGTGAACTGAACTGTAAACTGTGTCACTCGTTTGACCTTGGCGCCCTATACGTCTTCCCTCAGCCGATGCCGACGAGTGCCTACAATGATGATGGTATGGCGGATAACGGACGGCGAATTAAAGCGATAATACTTATCGGTGGACCTGGGAAAGGTAACAATAGATATTCTAGCTGGCTAGCTGCTCGAAGGTACTCGGTTTCGTCCGCTCTCTTTGGAGCTTCCGAAACCCCTGTTCCCTGTCGGTGGTTTCCCAGTGATTTATCACCACATAGAGGCATTTTCGAAGGTAATAAGTTTCCGATAGTCTCAAATGTATGACAGATACCTGGTTTATTTGAAATTTTGCTCCTGGGATTTTACCAACCCTCAGAATACTTGACACAAGTCATCGCGAATGCGCAACGTGAATTCAAGGTCACAGTTCGGTAAGTTTGCTCCCCACCGATGGTTCAGTACCATGTAGCCATTTTGTATTTATTGCGGTAACCACGTGTTCTTGGGCGCATACATATGGGCTGATCTACTACCCCGGATCCACGTCTGGATAAGAACATTAGTGTCTAATATCCGGGATGTGACATAAGAGAAATGCACCCGGATGCTTCAGGTTGCAAAAAGATCTACGTCTAGACATATACAGGGGTTAGCAAGTTTAGAATTGGTAGGTCAACCTTAGACGCTCGTGTTTGTCTAAAGACTAGTTTGAAGTCAGTGAAATACTTTAAGAATAGTGACGGTGCCTAGGACGCATCGAGATTCGTGGTTGGTAAATGCTAGACAGGTATGCATGTGCATGCAACAACGGCTGGGACTGCTGTGCATTAGTTCGGCTTTCTAGGATAGCAGGTGGTTTTTTCGTCGACTGTTGTGCCAGCCTGCCAAGGTCGAGCTGAAGGTCATATCTTGTGCTATTTCTTCCTATATGTGTATCTTGAGGTCACAGGCAAGCAATGTACCTGGTGAGTGGAGATGAAGTGGTAGCTTTTTTGGCATAAGTGGCAATCTACACATATTCAACAGCAGCTACTTGTTAGCCTGCTATTCAGTTCTGGAGACGTATCCCCAAGTTTCGCTCTCATCTTACGTAGTTCTCTGTTTCCGTGCTGAAAATTTTTTTACTAAAGCATCATCGAAACCCTTGAACGCAACAACCACACTTCGCGTGATTGTGCATAAAGAGAGCCCCTCAAGGAAGTCGATCGACTGGTACACTGAGCACGTGGCCAAGCCAGCGCAACCTGTGAAGTGTGATCAGTTCATCTATCGTGAGCAAGTAAGCTCTCCCGAAAACCGTCCAACTTACTTCAGGATTACTGATCCGGTGTTCTAACCAGACTCCAGCAATGCTCCGAAAACATCGATAGTCGAACAATCGACGTCTTCTGATGCCCGCGGCTTGTAGCTACCATGTTTCTGACCAGTATGGTAATATGGAGCGCACCTCAGCATTGTAAGTTCGACCCTTGACGGATAGGCTGATATCACCCCTATGCCGCAGGTGACTCAGGCTCACAAACATTTCTTCGATTTTCCCATTCCGGGTAGTAGTATCATCTCTCGCAAGACCACTGGGACTGATACATCCGCTCAGGTAGATAAATTTGTCTACTACCACACTCGGCTCGTCCGCAAGCATGAGGCTTGTACTCAAGCCCACGCAGTCTTGCAGCAGCACTAGCTTTTAAGATGTGAAGTGCATAGCAAACTGTGAGGCGGAAGTATTTCAATTATATGTTGTTTACATTACGACGGCGTCAGATCCAAGAAAAGGTATTTCGTCTGGGTCTTCATCATCATCATCGAAGACGGCGTCTGGGTGCTCGATACCTGTGAGTGAATGGCCTGGGAACGGCTTACTCATCTCGTTTATTGTATTAGTTTGGTAGTAGTGTGGCAGGTGGAGTCACTGAAGGGTGGAATTATACTTACTGATTCGTGTTGAATATGGTGCAGAAAACCATATCTCTGGGACTCTCAAGATGTGTATATCGGACTAAGGTATAGCTGAGAGAAATGGACGTTGGGAAAGATGTCTTCAGATCTTTGACTATCGATGTATCAGAATCCTAGAAAGAACGGGATGGGACTAACGAAAGTTCACGGGGAAGTTCGGCGAAGTAGTGAGTACTTCAATTTAGACGTATACCTTGTACTGCAGGCTAAAATTGTTTGGTCTTTAGCAGGGCTCACCGAGTTATCGTCTGTTATGAAAAGGGCGCTTTCAAAAGCGAAAAAAGGGGGAAGTGTGACGTGGAAGAAGGTAATGGGACTGGGAAAAATTTAGATAATCTCGGCTCTTTCGGCCTTCTCGGACCGGGCCCAAGTCACGTTCCCTAAACTTAACTGTAGATGTTGCAACACATGGTGGTAATTTCGATCTCGCCATCAGCCATTATTGGTATTGTCTGCATGGATGTTTGGAGGTGTAGGGATCCCAGACGTGCGGGGCTAGTGCTAGGCTCCCTACGCTAATTAACCTCCAGTGTTCTCAGCTTGTTGTTTATTTCTGTGTTGACTTCGGATTGAATGTACTGAACCCTTCGTCGCGAGCCAGAGTAAAGCTAGATCAAATAAATCTTATCGTGTGCTCTTTGACCAAAGGGAGGAGGGGTGCACAATACCAATGAGATGACTGGTTAACCAGGGAGCGGCCTAAACCGTGGGCTGTTGAGTTGTTAATTGTTATAGCTGAACATAATTGGTACGGTACGTAAGAGAGAACAAAGGAATGAATTTTCGCGGCTTCTGTGACTATCGCGAGATCCGCCTGAAAAGTCCACCGCAGGAATGCAATTTGACGCGGCAAACAGCTCGCTCGTTCTGAGGGAATAACGCACAGCGACCATAGAACTAACCGTTCCGGAGGAAATTCCGACAAAGCTTGCAAAATGATAAACCGCAGTAGACCGTAAAACACTATGTCTCCTAAGCGTTTTCAGGCAAACTTCATCTTCATCAGAGGCAGCAAATCAATGTTGATACTGGTGCTTCACTGCCGTACGACCGGAAAGTTTATTCAATCATTCTTGAAGCCTTAGAATGAATTGAAGGGGAAAAGTGGGTGAGGAGGGGGACCGGGTATTGACTTATCGCAAGCATTCTGAGGTACCTACACATCCAGACGTTCGATCCAGAAAAGAAGCTGACAGCAAGAACGCCACTGGCGTTGATCAGTCGCCATTTTTTGCAATGTCTTCTGCGAAGTGCAGGAGGGATCAAGGGGACCCCATCATGGAAGGCGTGCAACACCAACAACACCCAAGCTCTTCGTTATCTCTTTCACATCCTTCGGCCAACTCGTTGTCTGCGTCTTCTTGAAGGAGGACGGAGAACAACACTCGTCTCGGTAGACGGCGATTCGGGATGCGTAGAAAATGTCCGAACCATTGTAATTGATTGTGCTGGATGCTTTCCGCTACTGAAGTATACGCTGCACAACCAAAACCCGTTGTCTAATCACCTCATTACTAATCTGTTGACACCAGCAACGCTTCTGAGGCTCAAAAGCCTAAAGATGTCTCACATCATCCGTCTACAGAGGCCACGTGTCGCAGCCATACAACAACACAACCATTACTGTAACCTGGTACACACAGCACTTAAGACCCAGTGATAAGCCTCTTTGACGTCACAAGCGACGCAAATTAGCAAACGTGATTAGGATTTCGGGATCCATACCCTGACTTCATCAGACACATTTTTGTCTGATGAAAGAGGAAGTGACTGCAGAAGGGACTCGTGGACAGTTATTCATGTCTCCAAAATGGATGCGCGGACGCGGTGCCCATGCCACCGTGGAATCAGCCGGTAGTTGTGGCATCAAATGTGCTCTCTGGTCTTATCCTTCGAAGGTTGACTGAACACACGGAGAGTCAGATCCCTGGAAACCAAGCTGGGTGCCATCCTGCAGGAGGATATGTGAATTACCTTTTTCACTCTACAGCAAATTCTGGAGAAGCGACACTGATTCCAGCTACGTACAATGGTTGACTTCCTTGCCTTGAAAGTTGCCTTCACGCGAATTGTGAAAACGCGTCAGGGGAAGTCAAACAAAGACTTTATAACGAAGTGTGGAGGCCATTGCCAGTAAATTCAACTACGCTGGTTATTGCCGTCCATCTGGAAAGGGGCCCCGAGAGGATTCACATCAGTGGTTACACACATTGTCATAATGGTCTAGTCGCGCCCTCAATGGTATCGCCTTGAATGTAGAGCTCATCTCCCAATTTCCGCAATGGAAAATCCCCTGTCAACCTGTATTTACGCATCAGTTATATCAGCCAGCGCTTTCGCTGCGTAGCTATCTACCCCACCTCCTCAAAACATTGATGAACAGAACTATGGCAACCATAACGACCTTACAGCAAGTACGCAGTTTTTACCCCTCGTGGAGATGATGGTGAACGTTATCGACAAAGTGCGCCATCCAAAATATCACATTGTTCGCGGCAGAAGCACCCCTCCGATGGTTTCGATCTTCAGCCGTCTGTAATGTGGAGTGATTTTCGCCGATGTATGGAAAACATAAACACATTGAGATACGTTTAACTGATGCCGGATGTGAATAATTGGTGCATCAAGTCTCTGGTGTTTCTAGGTCACTGTTACTCCGTTTTTTTTCGGTATACCTCTGAACAGCCCCTAGTGTATTCATTTACTTTCAGATTTTAAAAATTCAACTCACAATGCATATATTTTATAAACACTTTCGATTTAGACTTTACAATGGGGTATTTTGTTACGCCTCACGCTTGTTCACTGGGTTTTGCTTATACATTCTTGTGGATTGGAGGTAACCTGGAAGACGACGAATGCTTGGTTGTCTATCGTCAATATAGGGGCGTTCACCGCAGCTGTACGCGCATGTGATCGCTTTGGATAACTGTCATTTCCAATGATTGTGCAATCTGACGCTCATCGACATGTAAATTAAGTAGAAGAACAGGAAAAATTCATGACCAGCTTTGAACCGTTGCTTCGTCTACATGGCCCTCAAATCATGCAATGCTTGCACTTTTCTACTGACTGCCAGAATGTGCTGCGCAACGGACCGCAGTAGCTCATGCCCTGGTGATGATGTAGCATTGAGTTTGTGCCTGACTGTCCACGTGTCACGGAACATTGGGTCAGGTTAAAACGCTTAAGTGGCTCCAATGCTCGTTGTTAGAGGTTAGACTAGTCCGACTGCTACACAGCAATGGTTAGCCTGGAATATCAAGTACCCCTATAGTCGTAAATTCCTTGAAGTTGGGTCCATATGCTGGGCTTTTTTGTTTGAACCACGTCTTTTCAGTTTGCTGAAAATCGGTCTTACGCATGTCAGTTTGAAAAAGTTAAGAAATTCTGGTTTGGTGGTGACGCCGAACTGGGCAAACACCGTCAATGCTCTGACGACGTCACGTCGATTGGTGATAAAACGTTTGCA